AATGTGTTTTCACCTTTGCACCCATTAGTCCTAACAAGTAGTTTTGTGAACATATGACATGGCATAATTATATATGAGAATGCTCACTTTTACACTGCTCATAATAATACATTTAAAAAATACTAACCATCTGTGAATACTTAAATCAATCACAATGAAATTTTTGTACAAGGAAATACTATGTAACCATTGAAAATAATGACACAGGCAGTTTTTAACCGATAAAAACATCACCATGGTACTCCTGATGCAGGGAAAGGGTGCCTAACAGCGAGCAGAATACTATCCCAAGTATACAAATTTCTGAAAGGATTCATGGAATAACAGCAACGGAAGTTATTGTAGAGAACAGCAATAGAATGATGCACAGAGGGAGAGTACCACATCTTATTTATTTATATTCCTCAGTACTATTAGAGATTTTTTTTTTTTTTGCTGTATTTTAGTTACATTTTAAGACTGCAATGTGAGACAATAGATCTGAATACTACCTCACATAGTGGCAAAAACTCACATTGTTAGAAACCTAAATGACAAAATATATATCATAAATCACTTTAAATCAAGGTTACTTAAAGAACTGAGGAAGCAAAGTAAAAGAACTCTTGATGCTTGACGAGCGTGACCTTTCACTGTGACTTACTGTGATGTCAGGAAGATTTTGAGGTGGGCAGATCTTTGGAGTAGGTACAGTAAATCAAAGTTTTTGGCTCTGAAATGCTTTCAGACCCTTTCAAATGCAAAAATATATATTTAAGGAATCATGAAGATGCAACTAAAGGTTAACAATCAATCAATGAAAAGTTACATAAACTATAAGAATTACTTCCTCATATTTCCAAAAATTTACTCAATTAGTTTGCCAATGAATAAAATGATTCTAAAATCAATTCATAGTAATTCTATTTGGATTTTTAGTTCTCAAAACAGTAACATTGCTTATGATCCATAATGACAGAAAGATGAAAACATCAGATAATTCAGACTGCCTTTTTTGTAACTTTAGAAAATTTAGATAATTAGAATAATTAAATTTTGTAGAACAATTACAGATACATACATTGGTACTTATATTTATATTTATTTATTAAGATACCAATTGAGACTAAAGAGAAAGTGTTAACTGCATATCAAACATTTAACAACATATTTTTAAAGTGTAGCATCTGCAATATAAGTATCACTATAAAATTAAATATCATCCAAATTCACTCTTAGTTCCAGTTTTTTTTCTAATAAACATTATGAAAAATATCCTGCCAAAATCCTCACAAAATTGAACTAAGTGTCATATATATTAAACATAATTAATTTTGAAAAATAGACATTTTCAGCAGCTTTCTAAAATAAATATTAATAAACTTTGTATAAAAATAAGTCATTCAATATAAAACCCCTATGGAAACCATTTCTTGAAGCTCATATAAATGCATGAGAATGACATTTCAGTTCTAACGGACTTTTGTATCTTAAGTTACTCCCCAAACATTGTGATTAGGTACAGAAGTGTTTTAGTGTTTTAAACTAATTATTAAAGAAAGACTAAAATTACTGAGATAGTTAGCCTCGTTTTATATATTATCCTTCAATAATTTTTGGTAAGTATGCCTAAACGTTTCCCCAAATACAATTGTTTTAACCATAGTAAGATGTATTAGGGTTCATTTGCTATTTTTAAATTGGGAACGCATTTCTCAGTAATGAATGCTTTAGACGAGTTTAACAAGCTAAGGTGATCTTTTAAAAAATAAAAGTATACAAATCGTAATTATCAAAGAAAATAATTTAGGGAGAGTTATTTTTCATCCATATCTAAGTGACACAGAAATTTCTGGTTCCATGTATGTTCATTCATTAGCATGTTACCCAACTCTGTATATTAGTCCTGTATACATAACCCTCAACAACATCTAAAGCCGAAAGTTTGTCAATCTTTGGCTTTTCATCAGTTAGTATCAATATTTCTGAAGGAATGTGAACATGTGTTTGAAATTTGGAAAGAGGAATTTAGTTTTATGGGGAAAAAATTAAAGCAAGTATAAACATCAAGCTTAGTGTTAAAAACAGTCTCGACCTAGAGTCTCCATCTAGTTTGAAACCATCCATGTCGTTACAGTACTTGCACACTAGATTTAACAAGAAATCAGTGTCTGTTCTTACGCCCTTTGTGAACATATAGCTCATCTCCAAAAATGACAAAGGAGTCCAACAGGAGAACCTAAGTCTGGGTGATTGTTACCTCCACTCTTTATATCCTTGCTTTGGAGAGTTCTAGCTTGGAAATCTGTAATATTGCGAATCCTCACAAACGATTTCACTTCAACTTATTTAAATTGGAAGCCATCGCTCCAATTGTTAAGTTCTTAGTTTCTTTTTGTGAATTTTAGGTTTATAGAGACTGCTTAATGCTTTATTTTTTGCAAATTAAGCTCTTCAAACAGTGAAAAATCTCTCATTTTGAAGTTGAAAATTTCCAGGATTTTCAAATCCAAATTCCCTATTTCAGATCATTGCTTCATCAACTTTTTTTTTTTAAGTAAACCCTTGGAAAAACTGTAGAATGTCTGACTTTCTAAATTATAAAACATTCCAAATTGTCTCCATATTTTATATTAAAAAAAACACTATTTAGTATCAGTTAACCTTCATAGGGGAATATGTGTCATGAAAGAATCTTCCAAAGCAGAAATTGGGAAGCAAGGATAGTAATGGTAAATAAGATGCAAATCTATTCACCAACAGCTCAAGCTATCTGTACTAATTCACCTTCACTATGAAGCCAGTGCCATGGAATTCCAATATTTCTGACGTGCTTTTATTGTTGGATTACTTGAAGCTGCCAGGATGATAATAATGACAAGTTAATGTTCTCACTACATTTTAACACAGAATCGCAACACTGCAGTGATTGTGGAACTCCTGAGTTTACTCAAGCATACGAGTAACATGGAGCATCTCTTTCCTGTTGGCCTTGGCCACAGATTACAGAATGCTGTGCCTCAACGGTCACACTTCGTCATTAAGCTCCAATTAACAATGAGGAATTGGGCAAAATTTAACATCTTGTCTCTTCTCTACTGCACCTTGAACTAAATACCTATTAAGCATAAGCTCAAAACAATATTTCCAAAATTTCCACACAAAATTTTCACAGTATTCTGCCTGTTTTTAAATCTCTAAAGATACAAAAAAAAAAAAAAAACAACAATGAAAAAGGTCTCCATTTGTATTTGTGTGGAATGAACATTTTCACATCACATACACACACACTGGTTGCACACTCTACCTTTTTCTTTTACGAAAGCCATAAGCTGAGTGTGTGAAATCCTGAGATGAAAACACAGAGAGGCTTCAAAAAGCACAAAGAAAGAGCAGAGCAAAGTTGGAGAAACTATGCAGATTTCAAAACTTTTTCACCAAAAGAAACATCTCTTACTTCCACTTTTTCCATGAACTTCTGGAAGTATTATCATACTTACAAAACAATTCTAATGAATTGAGTAACAAATGACCATAAAATATAAAAAAAAAATTCGTTGGCGTCTGGGACCAGCATTGTTGCTTAGAATTGCTCAGGTCATATGGCACAACTAGACAGATGGGCTGTAGCGATTTGTTTAGGGTAAAACTGAAATCAATACAATTCTGTCTAAGAATGAATTTCTAATGCTGTTTAGAAATCCATGGACACCTTTTTTTGGCACAAAAGTACTTATATTGGGATACTAATAATTTTCAACTTTTTTTTCCTCTTGCCATTGGAAATTCATGTGCTTTTTTTATTACCCAATCTGTAATTTTTGTGGTTCTTTATAATAAAAGTTGAAATGAGTAATATACTTTTGGATTCTTTTTAAGTCCTCAAAGGCATGAATGAGATCTAATTCTCACTTATTTCCATCCAAGATTGTATTTCTACTTAAGAAACTTCATTTTATTTCAAGTCAATGTATTTGATGGATTTGTAATTTAATATGTTAGAGATTTGAAGCATGATTATTACTATGAAAACATATAATTAAATGTTAATTCTAGTTCAATCACCCAATAACCCTGTGATCTTGGGTAAATTAGTCGATCTCCTTGTCATTACAAGGGATTTAATAATAATTTCATGTCTCATACAATTATTGCAATAATTAATTGAGGTATAGTATTAGCACAATTGTTAGTTTATGTAAAGAATGCTCAGTACATGAGGGGGAGAAAAAGTACATATGCAATTGATCATGGGTAAAGACAATGATTCCAGAGTGATACAACAATGATTTCATTTTCTAACTATATTGTAAAGTGATCATTTCAGAAACTTTTAGGAACCAGTTAAAATTCACATTGTTTTCCAAAGTTCTCCATTTCAGTTGTCACTAAGATACTGGTTGCAGATATTATCATTGTAATAGGTGTGTCATCATACAGCTTACATCTTAGATTAACACATAAGGATTGGTTTACTGGACAGTCTTCGCAAGTAGAACTCATTAGACAAGAGCTCCGTTCCTTCTTTATCTTCAACATTTAGTGAAGTACATACTTCAAATCACAGTCTGGTAGCACAAAATACAACACTTCACATACTTTCAAAAATGTACACGGACACTTTTTAGGCATAAACTCACCTGTGTGTATTTATGTATATGCATGCGCAAAACAAAGGCAACTGATGGCTAACCAAAACCCCTGAAACAATTACATCTCCCAAATGTCAGTTAGAAGCCTTCTTTCAGTGTTGGTGTAATCTAGAAGATTAGCTCTTTGTACATAAATGTATTAACAACAGGCAGTGTTTCTTGGGCTGATTTATAGCAGGAGACCTTGAGAACAGAGTAGTGAGAAGAGCATATGAACACCAGCAGGTACCTGAAATTTTCCTCACACTTCTCTCTATATTTCCAAGGAAGGACAAACACCATTAAGGATGGTGTTTTAAAATGTAGCTTTTTTTCACCCTCATTCAAACTCTGACGGCATCTACCAATATCACAAGGTCTTTCGAGGAATTACACAGTTAAGTCACACATCTTGCTTTCCATTATCTTCTGAGTTTGAGTGGAACAAGTTTGAAATTGAGGCATGTAAGACACAAAAGTCTTCTTACCGGAAGTTCCTAGGTCAAAATTACTTTCTGTGAATTGCGAGCAACTGTCCTGCAGGATTCTGATGTCAGTGAATACACAGTGAGCTGGAAATGGACACAGCACTCCTGATTCTTCAGTCAGAAACACATCGCTCTCTTTCTTTTTGATCGAAGTCACACCCATATAATAGACAGACTTCTCACAATCATTTTCTTCAGGGAAGCCTCCCTCCAGTTTCAAAAGTTTGTCCAATCCCTCTGAGAACATGAGATGTGGTGAAATTATGTTGGACTGTGGCTCCGAAAATAAACAAAATGCTTGGGACGCAATCTCCCACGAGTTGTTGCAGAGGGAATCTTTCAGCAGAGATTTTTCGTTAGAGAAGCACTTGCTTGTCGAACTGCTGAGAAGCCCTTGCTCTTCGCTGCTTTCACTGGACTTTGAGTTGCTGATCAGCGTGGCATATTTAACAGAGGGTTGTCTCTGATTTTCATCCTCACCGACAACCTCGGTGCTCTCAGCCTCTGAGAAGTCAGCGCTGTTGACTTGGTCACCAATGCAGACAGAATCCTGTTCAAACTCCGGAGATGTCAAATGTAGTGGGACCACAGTTGTTGGTACCATTTCCTCTTTATCTTTCCATGATGTATCAACACTGATGTCTTCTGAAATGGTTTCAGGCTCCAAAAGAAGAGGGCCAAATGTCACTGATTCTGTATGCTTGGTAAAAAGATGCTCAAACGTTTCTGGCTAAAAGAAAAGACACATTTTAAAGCTCAATCATGTTCAAATGTGTCATGCCTGAAAAATGGAAGTGTGTAAGGTTAATACTAAAGAACAGAAGTCAACCACTTATTTCTCATTGCAGACTACACACAGATTATTACAAAAGATTACAGGGAAAAGATCATCAAAGCAACATTTCAAAAAGGGGTAAGAAAGACTTAGGCTTGGGTTCTAATTCTATGACTGTGAATAAGTACATAAACCTCTCTCAGTTTATTCATCTTTTAAAATGTTTTAAACACTTCCTTCATGGTGTTGTGGCTAGAAATAAAAGAAGTAGTGGCTGTGAATACTAAGTTCTCAATAAAGGTTACCTACTATAATATTGGAAAATATTGCCCTGTGAGGAATTTAGAATATTTTGTAACAAGTTACATTTCCACAAAGTAAAAATGTAAGCCTCTAAATAGAAAAAAATTACATCAAACCAAAGAGAGAAAAGCAAAGCAACGGTTTCAAAGATGGTTATAATAATTTCTTATGTTATAAAATATAGTGTGATGATTAAAAAAAAGCCAGTACTAAGAACATAAAGCTAATGTTATTCTTGAGACAAAGAATAATACCTTCCATTAGAAACAATGGTGCTGAAAGACATGATCAGACTGTCTTTATGAATAACTTCATGTAATAGTATATATTGTAGGACACATGAAATGAAGACAAATACACAAGACAAATGCACATCATGCTTTTATAGAAACAATGGTTACATCACAACAAAAGTCCTGTGAGGCATCTACAAATCAAGAGTCTGTGCCAAAGCTCGATTCATACAATGTAAACACACTGAAAAAAATACATGCAAAATAAGAAACTGTGTAAATACATCATACTGGAAAATTAACAGAGCTAACTTAAGTGATACAGAAAGTTTTTTCAGCCTACATGTCATGTGTATAATTCAACTTTTGAATTCAATAACTTTAAACTAATAGAATAAATTCAGGTATATTGCCTGAAATAATAGGATATTCAACTGTTCTTGATAAAGCATGTATATTCCATATAAAGCTACAATTTCTTTAGCATACATTTAAACTTTTAAGTGAATTATATTAGTGACTACCCCATAAAAGAATAAATATATCAAACACTGAACCATAGAATGCACTTATGTAGATATTGAAATACTGTGTAATAACAAATATTGTGTTACCACAAATGTTTCTGTTTTTCTATGAGAATAGAATATGAAGAGCAAAACTTCTTACATCTATTTTCATATTTCACTCTATGCATTTAATTTTTTGGAGATTTTACAGCAATCTGGGCACATATTAAAAAGTATTCATCTGGTAGGATTTATGTGACTTCTTTTCACAATTCCACACTTATATTTTCCAGTGATATTTATTAATAATCAGTGAAGGGAAAAAGACACATTCTTTCCATTTTCTAGTTTTTTTGATATTCAAATAAAACTTTGAATAACATTTAAATATAATGATTTACACATGCATTTTTTAAATTTAAGTGTCATAGGTTCCTCAAATAGAGGCTTTGACTTAGTCTGAATGTGAGCAGAACACCATCTTTAGTATCCTAAATACACTGTACTAGCAGGTGGTCCTTTTTCAGTAGAAAAAGTCCTGTTATTATTATGAACTCTTCATAAAAGTGCCAAAGGGTCCTCTTTTTCTTGTATCCTTGCCTACTTCCCTGCCTGCCAGAAGTCTTAGGTAGTTCAATGAAAATAAATTAGATTCAGGTAAGACCTTCTGCAAGAGGCTGGACCAGACCTAATGTTCTTTTCAGAACAGGGCAATCTGACCTGAAGATGTTGAGTCAAACTAATAGGAACTATAACTTTAACTGTCCTGTGACAAGCACAGACCACAACTTCTGGCTTGCTTTGAGCTAAAATAGAAGTTGAGGACAAGACATTTCAAGGTTATTGAAAGCTAAAATTCTCAGGTTGGCCAAAATTAGACATAAAAGTTTTTAGACAATCAAAAGAATATTGAGTGAGTCAATTCACAGACCAAAGCTTCTACAAAGGAAGCAAAGATTTAAAAATGGACGTTAAAAATAAAAACTAAACATTTCCACTGCATTCTGTACTTACAATGATTACATTTGCAAACTTCTGTGAAAGAAATTGTAAGTTTAAAGTTTACCTAGTCACATTACTGACTACCATAGATTTGATGGCATCTAACAGGTACAAAGTGACAACAACAGGTATAACTTTTTAAAGTTTGTCATGACTAGGAAAATTATAAAGCAAACACCAGATATCATGTATAATACTTTCAAACTTCAGATGACCTAAAAGGTAATCATACATCCAAAATTAATTGGACTTAAACCTGTATCTTGACCCAAAACTTACACATCTATTTTAAGTTCTAAGTCAACATTATCCACCATATGTTAGTTCTCAACAGTTCAATCGAAATTGTTTTAGATTTGCTCCCCTTCTTCATAATGTAAAAATCTTCTAATACTCTACAGACTGTTGAGAAGTTGGTACAATGGGTTCATCTGCAGTGATCATGCTTAACTTCAAAGAATGTCCGTTCTCTGTTTAGATAAAATAAATAAGAAAGCAAAATAAAAAATCATTCAGAAAGCCAAAGATAAAAGATATCAAAACATTTTCTGTCAGGCATGAGCTCTTGACTGTAGATGGTTATGTTGTATGATAGTAACACATCCCTTTAGGGAAGGGCACCATTTTAATTAAAGTAGTGTCTCCCATTTTTCAAATAGATAGCTTAACATGACACTCTAAGAGTAGTTTTGATTACTTCAGAAACAGGAAATAGACAGATGAATAATAAAATAGGCAAACATAGACTGGATTGCAGGAAGAGCTAAAAAAAAAATGAGAGGAGGAAGGAAACCAGAGGGCTATTAGAGGGTGTAGCAATGAAAAGGAAAAAAAGAAAGAGAAGAATTGAAACGGCAAAAGACAGAATCACAGGACCATTATCACAAAATCTTTTAGTACAGAAAAAAAAGCAACACAAGAGTTCAACTGGTCAAAATTTCAATCTCTCCCCTTTTCAAACAAAACAAGAAAGCCCCCATGAGATTATTAGCATCAAGTTACACCCCTAATTACATAGTGGGAGGACCCTGTGATTTAGTCCTATTTTTTTTCTAATCCAACAATCTTCCCATAACACAGTGGAAAATGGAAAAAAGGAAGAACATGTTCTTTGTTTTGCTTGTTCTACTTGCTATGACAGAGTTGAAATGGTTAATTCATATTTCTTTCTGATTGTTTAAAAGCTAAGGGGTACAAAGAACAAGAAAAACAACTAAAAACTGAAGTCACATTTTAATGGCAGGAAATACACACTTGTAGGCTCAATAACATGCACTCTGGGCATAAGATGTATGGCTACTTCTAAACAGAATTTCTAATTCTAACATGTGCCAAGTCTTCCAGGCATGTATGGATCTGCACTAACAATCACAGGGCTGCTGCTGGCTTAGTCTGTAAGTAGGATGTTTTGGGAATCCACAGGTTATCAAGCTGCTTCTCTGGAGACCTAGCAGCGTGTGGAACCTAGGCTAGTCTTCAGGTCCCAAGGAAAAACTGACTTGATTTCAACTTTAGCCTACCTAAAATCAGTAAAGTGGAATACACATTTGTGAAAATAGATATAGATGTATACAAAAGAGCAGGTTTGAACAACAACATATCATAGAGGATGAAAAATAAAATACTGTAAGGAAAATAAAGAAAATGAATGAAAGGGAATGAATGAAAAGTGAACCACAAAAGACTTCAATAACCAGAAAAAGTCAGATGCTCACATACAGAAGGAAAAACCCACAGAATGCTAAAGATAAAAGGTAACAAATTAAGAAAGATAATAGTCTTTTATTGTGTGAGGTTCGAATTTGTTAGTATAAACCTGTTTGAATAAACCGAATAGAGACCATCAAAAATAGGATCTGACACAAGGGATTTTAGCTAATCTCTAAAAGAAAACTTCAGAAAAAGTTTATAATAAAGTAAGTAGGCAATGACAGCTGAAGGTGGGCTGCAGCTGAAGAGCCAGCTACGCCTTCTGAATGCAGTGGAGACAGAGAGCAGAAATGGTTAAAGAAAATCCAGCAAGACAGGAGACCTGTGGTGGAATGGAGTAGGGCTCTCCTACTGTGCCTTTGTGTAAGCAAAGTCTCCAGGCTCCAACTAAGAATTTGGTCTCAAAAGAAACAAAGGAACTCTGAGGAGGCAAGGGACAGCTATGAGATATCTCAGAGCACACAGTTCTTCAGCTGGTGCTAGCAAGGACTCTGCCTAAATGCACAAGGTTTCCAGCATAGGGAAGACATTTCTCATGCATGCTCTATCTATAAATCTGCCTTGTAAGTAAATTAAACATTTTTTTAAATATGTAAGAAATTAGTTTGGGGAACACTTTATAAATCATATTGGACATTTAAGAACTAGAGTTACACAGCATTTGCATAAAAATAAATGTCTAAAAAATCTGAATTTGGAGAAAAAGTAAATATTCTCTATACATAAAATTACAGTAAAAAAAACTACTGTTCGGTGCGATGTTTTGGCTCAACTGTCTAATCCTCCACCTCCAACCACCAGCATCCCATATGGGAACTGGTTTGTGTCCTGGCTGCTCCACTTTCCATCCAACTCCCTGCTTCCGCCCTTGGAAAGCAACAGAGTATGGCCCAAAGCCTCCCATGTGGCAGACCTGGAGGAGGTTCCTGGCTAAGCTCAGTTGGGCTAAGCTCCAGCCATTGTGTACCAGTGTATGGAAGGTCTTTCTTTTTATCAGGGTATTGAACTACTCTGAGTCTCAAGTTCGTCTTTAATTTTGGGCAAACAGCAAAAAAATGAAATAACACAGAAAGGGCATAAAGGCATAAAACAAATTGTCTTTTCTAGTAATATGCAGGGAGTTTAGACTGTATTATTTTTCTTTAAAAACTAAAGGCAGAACAGGAAAACAGGAAAAAAAAGTTTTTTCTTTAGAAGAATTTTTGTGAATAAAAATTGTTATATTCTTATTATTATATTCTTCCTCACCATTTAAATGTTCCCAATACATTTATTTATTTATTTCTAGCATACCTACTAAGCCTATATATGTATATTGCAGGCCTGGGCCTCACCATTCCTTCGTCTTGTCCTGGTATACACACAGAAATCATTTTCATGATTGGTCCAATATAAGAGTTCAGAGACTTTTTCTGGCCCAACCCTGACCATGTGTCTATTTGGGGAAATGAACAAATAGATGAAACATTTCTTTCTGTAACAAATTCTCTCTTATTACTCTGCCTTTCAAATAAATAAAATAAATATTTTTTAAGAGAGAGACAATCTTCCCCTTAATTAATATAGATTTATATACTACAAAATTTTTTGAGATAAGCAAATATCAGAGTTCTAACTACAAAACATAGGCCATTTAAATGCCATGAAATCAATGCAGTGGGTTGCAAGCAAAATCTTTAAATGAAGTAGAATTTTTAAAACATTCTATTCATTATATTAAATAAGTAGCAAAGAAAGTCTATTCACATTTTTGCTTTAGTTTTGCAAATCCATACCAATGCATGTACTAGGTTGGGACATTAAATGCCTTTCTCACAATCAGTCACTTATATTAAAAAATTGATGCTACTGTGTTAGAGAACAGAGTCCAAAATCAGCCAAATGGCAAACTAATCCCAGCTCTAATAGATTTCCTAGCCACAGTTAGTGCAGTTTTTTCTTCCACAAAATGGAGATAGCAATTCTTATCTCAAGCATAAACAAGAGAATACAACAAGCATTTACATAAAATGTATTTACAGAACTTAAATAAGCAAAATAATAATATTTATAGAATCCTTATTATATCACAAGTACCATTCATTTTTATCTCTAAAACGATTCAATAAAATAACATTATTCAACTCATTTTGCAGGAGAGGAAACAAACGCTAAGAGGTGAATAAAACATTCTGAGAATGAATTGCAATAACTTTCACATAGATAAATGGACAATCTTAAAATTTCTAGTAACTATTTAATGGATCAGTACTTCAGTATCTTGCCTGTAACTGGAATAGTTTAAGAAATATTTGTATAAGACCAAATATGATCCAAGAACTCAGTCTTCCGCACAATAAATCAAATATAAAATGCTGCAGAAACTCAAATGGGGCAGAAATTTCAAGGACAGAAGAGCCAAGGACAAGATCTTTGTTGATGAGGAAGATTCTGTGCTTCTGGAAAGGATTAGTAAACCTACAAACAGAGCCAGAAGCAACTGCATGAGCAGGAAAGCAGCATACTGAGAGGAAGTTTGACACTAGCTTAAGGGGACAAAAGGAAACAACTGAAGACTTCTTAACAAGTGATTAATGTCAAGCTAACCCCAAGTACTCATAGCTTAAAAACTGTGTATTTGACATACAAATTTAGCTTGGTTTTTTTGTTTTTCCTAATTCTACGTGTGGAAAGCCAGCTTGCTTGAAGAGAATTCAGGAGAATTAGCAAAACACTCCCTAATGTCTCAGTTAAAGAAGTATGCAGAAATCTCTATTTTTGACTAACTGATCTCATAAAGTAGTTTTGCTTGAGTACCTTCACAAATTTTTCATGATAGTTGCATTTTTTTTTTGAGATCGTAACATTTGAGGATAAGGTTATGCAAGTTTGCATTGACTGAGGTAACTATAAGGGTTAATACTATTGATCCCATGGAACAGACATTTAGCCTGGCTGTGAAGACGCCCACATCTTCAGACTCTACTTTCTAGTAATGCAGACCCTGGGATGCAGTAACATTAGCTCAAGCAACTGGGTTCCTGCCTCCTGCGGAAGAGCTGCAAGCTCTGACTCATCAAGGCCTTCTCATAGCAGGAGTTCAGGGAGTAAACCAGAGGATGGGAGTGCCAACTGTTCTGCCTCCCCACCATGATTCTCAAATAAATAAAAATATGCTTGAAAAATATATTGAGTCCAGACTTTTTCCTAAATATAAAGTTTATTCAAATATCCATTAGAGTTGACCCTTAATATTCTAGTATTTACTTATCATGTACTGTAATACACAAGACATGTCAATTCTCATACGATAATCTATCAACTGAATTTTGTTGCCTCTTGCTTTCAAATTCCTATATTGTTATTTTTTGCATGGATGTAATAAATTATATATCTTCAATCTTGATCATAAAATTTGGAAAAAATTGGATCTTTTAAAATTTAAAAATGTTTACAGCTCAAGAATTCATAGTATATCTACATTGCTGTATTATGCATTCTGGGTTTAGAAAACTTAAAAAGTGACCTTCTGAAAATTAAGTCCTTGGGCCCAGGAACAATTCTTTGGATTTGGAACATCTTCCCAAAACAGCTTTTTCATTCTACAAAGAATAAACATGAAATCAGAATTACAGAAAAACATTCATACTGAAAACATTAAGAGGTAATGAAAAACAGAATAGAAATCAAGTCCGATTCATTTTTACATTCTATTCCATAAATGTTTCCACCAAACTTCTATCTAGACCAAAATTTACAGTCATTATAATCATAGAGATAGACAATATCACTGAAAATACTGTGTCCAGTATGGTACTAGACACTTTGCATAAGTCCTCTCACAAAAATATTATAAATGACCTTTAAGTAGTTGTCAGAAATAATTCTACTTGATATGACTCCAATCAGTTCACTTGACTTTTTTTTTTTTTTTTTGCTTAAAGACAAATGGCATGTGTGAGATAATCCAACTGATATGGACTCCTTAGCAAGAGTAATGATGCACTCACAGAATTAGCCAGGAAATCTAATGTTCCTTGCTGACAAGCAGAGCGGGGCCATGCCGCTGGTGTATAAACAGACACAGTGCCTGCTGACCATAAATGCACTGATGGTTCCAGGTCACACTAAAAGTCCACTTTGAAAGTCCATTTCTCCACTAAAAGTTCTCAGCCCAAATTGCAGAACTCTGAAAGCCATTTCTGTCACCTTAAAGCACAATACTTGTCAGAATTTCCCACTATAAGCCTGTTATTTCCTGAACTTAAAATTGGATTTTTTCCTACAATTTTTAGTGTGTCAGAGCAATATAAAATATTTCTTTCTGAAAGCAGGTCTTTCCTTTTTATGCCATCTTAATTGTATGCTGAATATACACAGAATATTTAGAATACTTTAATATTCATGATTTCAATTACAGCTTTAAAGATTCTTAAGAGTTTCTGCCACTAAGATTCTGAACATTAAATACAGTACCTTTGATGTGATATTAACAATGTTCCAAGCAATAAGATAGAAGAGGAAATAATTATTGGCACAATTACATATAGACCAGCATCATTTCGGAGTTTCTCAACATTATCTGAAAAAATAAATATAATTTACACAGCTCAGAGGCTAAATACAGTGTTAATTTATTTCTGCACCAAAAACTACAGAAGGTTTTTTTATTTCATAATAAATTGTATCAACTTCAACACTAAAAATAAAAAGGAAGATAAAAGTATGGTTAGCTGACAAACTCATTTTTATTGTTAGTCATTATTTTTCATGATACACTTTTGTAGGTATAGGGATTCCCCCCTTTCCTCCCTCTCAATTTTACCCTCCCACCATTTCCCCCACATCACTGCAATAGTATAGGACTTTAATAACAATTACAAGGTTAACATTCTGTCATGTAAGTGTATCGTGGCATTGTAGGCAATGTTAAAAAAAAATCTGGTATCAAATTGTCAAGGTGTATGCCACTGTTTTCCTGGGAGTCCTTTCATTCAGGAGTAGAGATGCATACTGCAATGCTAGTCTCCATTGTACAGTTCATCTCTGAGAATAAATGTACATCATGTCTATGTTCATTGCTTTTCATTTGAAGGTTGCATTTTTTTCCCCAAAATTGTTGCTTTGTCAGTGTTTTCCATTGGATTGTTCTGAGTTGTGATGAGGCTGCCTCAGCATGTGCTGCTGGGGCACTCCTGACAACTGTGGTGTTCACGCACACAGACCTCACTGCCGTTGCTTTAAGCACCAAAGTTGCTCACTCTTCAGGGCCTCTGCGCACCGCAAGCCTCAACTCGAGACCCTCTACCCCTTTGTACTGCTGGACCTGACTCAGATATTACCACAACTGAAAGACCATTTGTGGTCACCGAGCCCCTGGTATTAAATTGTTGCCCATCACTCCCACTAGAACACAGAAGTTTTCGTTCCTTTATGGGAGAGGCATGAATTTACTCTTCAATCTCCAGTGCTTGGAATAGCACTCAGTAAATACTCAGTGAGCAATATATAAATGAGCTTAAAAAATATTTATTTATTTATTGTTGGAAAATCAAATATACAGAGAGGAGGAGAGAGAGAGAGGAAGATCTTCCATCCGCTGATTCACTCCCCAAGTGGCCGCAATGGCTAGAGCTGAGCTGATCCGCAGCCAGGAGCCAAGAGCTTCATCCAGGTCTCCCATGTGGGTGCAGGGTCCCAAGGCTTTGGGCCACCCTTGACTGCCTTCTCAAGCTACAAACAGGGAGTTGGATGGGAAATGGGGCTGCCGGGATTAGAACCAGCACCCACATGGGATCCCGGCACTTGCAAGGCGAGGACTTTAGCCACTAGGCCACCGCGCCGGGCCCTACAAATAAGTTTTTAAAATTATTTCTATTCTCAAATAAGATAAAACATTCCTATCTTAAAACTTCATTGCTGTTTTCTTGAATTTAAAGAAAATTTTTGGAAATAATGCAATCAGATATTGACACTTCAGATGTGGTAAGATGAATCAGAAATGCAAGATGCCTAGTGTATTTATTTCTGTGTCTGATTTTACTTTGAGAGGAAAAATGTCTCCATTTAATATCACATAAAACATCTAGATAAGAATCTAAACTGCTCAGTAATTCCATCAGAAAAGAATCATCTGAGGATAACATTCCCTCCAGAAACTGGGAAATGTGCACTGATGTGAAGAGAAACTTAAAGCAAAAGTTTTACCTGGGGTGAAACTTGTAATTATTTTAGGTTTTGCCACTCCTTCCATAAATACTGGGTAAAGATTGAACTGATATTTCTCAAAAGGGATGAAATTATCTGAGGAGAAAAACACAGGAAAGATTTATTTATACTAAATTAATATAAATGAGTAAACCTATATTTAAAAAAAAAAAAAGAAAAATGAAAGTGACTATCCTGTATTTCCAAACACATAAATCAGCTGTTGTTTATGGATTGAATTGATGACTTGAGTAGTTTTAAAATTAATTTAAGCACTTTAAATTGTCTAGCAATAGCAATGATTTTCCAAACACTTCTTGTGAAATCTTTCACACAATTGTAATTTCCTGAGGTCAGGTTCAGGGAGTAAAAGCTGTTTCTTTTGTCATTTTCTTTTCTAGGACAATATGCTGTATCTTCTCTCCCTTATTTCCAAAGCAGGCAATATTTCCTTTTCATGGAAAATATAGCTTGCCTAGTGCCCCTATTGAACACAACTTGGAGTCTACACGCTGGTGAAGTCATATGCAGTAGAGATGTAAGTGGAGATGAGACACGCCTTTGAATGTAGATATTTTGGATTTGTAGAAAATCATCATCCCTGTAGCAGAGCTCAACATGAATCAAGTGATGAGTTTTATACATACTAATAATATGTAACAGACAGGTCTCATTGAAGCTAACATTCTCTATCCCCATGGCTTAAGAAAAAGCAGAGAGTCACCACCTAAACAGCAATGACAATGATTAAGCTCTCCATGGTAATTTGTAAACAAACGTATCCTGATAACCTCTAGGTGTCTGGAATGAAGTAGAAGCAGAAGTTCTTGCAACATGTTAAGTAATAAGATCATGGCAATCATGAGCTTCCTACTTAAGTTACTTCTAATTCTTACTCAGACTTGGAGATGCAGTATGGCTGTACCATGCTAGAGTGCTTCAAAGTCAAAAAAAGTTGTGGAAATATAGTCTGCTATTTAAGTGTGCCCTGACAATACTGGTACAGACAACGTCAGACAGTCCATCATCCCATTGTCTAGATATATCCAACACTTTCACTGGGAGTCCAGCCTTTGGAAGCAGAGATGCATGTTGTATTGTGTCTTCACTTCTGAATATGGTAGTTTCATTACTCCACCACTATACATTCCAATTTGCATGACGGATTCCTTATATTAGAGAACATATGGTATTTCTGGTTTTTTTATTGATTTTTTCACTGAGCGTGATGGTCTCTAGTTGGGAACCATCTACTTGCAAATTGCATAATTTCATTCTTTTTAATTGCTGAATAATATTCCATGGAATAGATGTACTACTGTTTCTTCAACCACTCCTCTTTGGATGGACATCTGGGTTGTTTCCATGTTGTAGATTGTGCTGCCATGAATATTATTTTAACCCATGAAAGTAACATATTAAGTCAGAATAAACTCACCATGGATAAAATACTTCTTAATATGTGAGGGGATTCTAAGCCATTTGATTCCATCATCTTCATTAAGATTTTTCCACTCAATAATATAATACATCAGGTTGTAGTCACTGGGCAATGGTATCCATGACAAAAACACACAACTGCTGTTTAAAGGATAAGCGCTGAGTGACTGCACGGCATTCACTGAAGGGGAAAGAAGGAAATTTATTTTTAAATTCAAAATGAATAAAAACCTACTGTTCTCAGAAATATACTGTCTACTGAGGGAGGAGAAAAGTAAGAGAAAAGAAATAATGCATACCAGTAAATATAACACCTAGAAATCATCTCTCCTTTATGAGAGTTACATAAGCAGAGAGATCTGGGATCGTACAACATTGGGGAGAAAAATGAGGCAACCCAAAAATCTAAAGAAAGAAATTGTGTATCATCCAGAAAGTGTTCTCAGCAGGTGTCACAAGTCTGTTAGCCACGCTTAGTCATTCACTCTAAATTCCTCTCTCCTGAGGGAGGGATGCTTTCAAAGGACAAACCTGTTCCACATCCCCCGCAGAGAGATTCAGCTAAGAGCCTCCAGCAGACTTCCACACTGGCAGGTAAGATACCTGTCTTTCCCATGAGGAACCAAGGGCCAACTATCAACCTTCCTCTCCACTTTTCTCATTTCTTCATACCAACACCATGTCATTTTCTATACCACGTAAACCAGACTTGGCACAGATATTACCACAACTGAAAGACCATTTATGGTCACCTTCACTTTACTTTTACTTATTGTGATTTTTGTTTCTATCTGACACCAACTGGTATTAATTTATTTGCTGCCCATCACTCTCATTAGGACACAGAAGTTTTCGTTCCTTTATGGGAGAGGCATGAATTTACTCTTCAATCTCCAGTGCTTGGAATAACACTCAGTAAATACTCAGTGAGCAATATATAAATAAATTTTAAAAACATTTATTTATTATTGTAAAATTAGATATACAGAGAAGAGGAGAGAGAAGAAGATCTTCCATCTGTTGATTCACTCCCCAAATGGCTGCAATGGCTGGAGCTGAGCTGATCTACAGCCAGGAGTCAGGAGCTTAATCCAGGTTCCCAGGCCACAAACAGGGAACTGGATGGGAAGTGGGGCTGCAGGGATTAGAACTGGCACCCACATGGGATCCCATTACTTGCAAGGTGAGGACTTTAGCCACTAGACCACCGGTGCAGGGCTTTCCCATGTCCTCTTTAACCTGACCATGTGCATCAATTCCACCACCAGAGGAGGAAAACTTAACCTGCCCCCACACTGCACACTCTAATCACATTAAATAAAGCCCACAGTAATGTTCAAGTGTCAGCAATTAATCAGCATCTATTTAACATACTGTGTTAGTATTGTACATACCTATGAGGAAACTTAAAAAACTTAGAGGAAAATATAAACAAAGGATAAATTAATTTTTGTGCAATTTTTATGCACATTTTTATGAACTTTTCTAAGTGTCTTCATATATAACACTATACATATGAATTTATTCTTAAATACTTACTCACATGCTTGTGTGTGCATTCATATATATATATGAGAAACAGAGAGCGAAACACTGACCTACAATGTTCAAAGGTTTAAGTGTTAGATGTGCAATGTTTTCATTTACTATAATACTATTTCAACAACATTCTTCCATGGGGAAACCTGAGGTCTGCGTTACATAAGCAGTGTAGGATGCATTTGTTATTTTTCAGGCAGAGACAACAAGGGGTGAAAGACACAGAACCAGGTCATTTTAGGGGGATCCTTCGGAGCGGGAGCAGTATCCAAAGCATGAGCAATAGGGCAGGCAGTGGGTTTCTGCTCTGTATCTCTGTATCCAAGTAAGAGGCAATGAATTCTTCTCTTCTTACCTTTGCTAATTGGCCACGAAAACGTTAGATTAAAATTGGAAGAAGAGGCACCAATTGAATTGATGGCCACAACTGTAACCATATGCACTTGCTCTGTCCAGACGAAAGTGAACTGGGTGTGATTTCCCACATCCTCTGACCATGTTCCATTGTGGGAAGTGTAATGATTTATCACATATCTGCTCACACTGCACAATGAATCATTTTTCTTCAGGGGCTGAAGTAAGCAGAAAAATGAATTAGTTTCAGGAGCATTGTGCTATTTAATCGAAAGAACTCAGAGAACTGAGGTTAGCATTCTTGTAAAGAGGTTTTGCAGGTAGGACAAGGCCTGTACAAGGCTCTCAGTTTGGGGAGGTACAACCGATGGAAGCTGGCTCTGAGCATGGTCTCGGCAAAAATGTCTGGGCAGTTACTAAACAAAACTTATGTTCCCTGTTTCAGATTTTTTTTCTTAAGAACCAGACAATGGGGACCGATGTGATGACCTAGTGGCTAAATCCTCACCTTGTAATCACCGGGACCACATACAAGTACCAGTTCATGTCTCAGCTGCTCCACTTTCCATTCAATACCCTGCTTGTGGCCTGGGAAAGCAGTAGAGGATAGAGCAAAAGCTTGGAATCCTGCATCCACGTGGAAAAATTAGAAGAGAATTTTGGCTCTTGGCTTCAGATCGGCTCAGCTACAGCCATTTACAGCCATTTGCGGGGGTGAACCAGTGGATGAAAGATCTTTCTCTGTCTCTCCTTCTCTCTGTAAAGTTGCCTTTCCAATAAAAAATAAATAAAATTTTTAAGAAATTTTTAAAAATTGAAAAAATTTTAAAAGAACCAGATAATAAATCATTTTAATATAATAAGAGAGAATGCATTTGGGACATTTTTCTACTAAAAAGTTTTACTCTAAAAAACGGGAAAAAAAATGATGGAGGTAGAATTTCCTCGTCTAAAAAGAAACACACAACAACATTTATATTAAGCCATTCACTTATTCCCATTTAAATATTTAGTTATTTTCATTTATATGTTTATTTATATGTTTATGTTTTAGATGTCCTCAAAGTATATGAGGAAGGTCATGTTTATATGTTCAGTATTAAATATGAATCACATTTTGAACTAAAGCAATACTGGATAGCATGAGAAAACGGAGACTCAAGGATTCAAATGATTTTGCCAAAATAGTACCAGTTGATATAACTGTAGCATGTTGAGAAGAAATCATTGCCTCCTAATTCCAAGCCAAAGCTCCAATGACTCATTTTAGCTCTCTGCAAAGACATTTCAAAAATGAATCGAAAAACGTGTGGTTGTGGAACATTCTGGAGATGAACAATGACGAGATTATCATTTAAGAATATAAAGAATAAATTAATGAAAATATAAGAAGTAAGAATACCTTCCACAGTAAGGTGATATTTTTCTCTTTTTTAGTAATGTCTCCATCAATTATTCTCCAAAATTCAGGTCCTCTCACAGGAGCTGCAAAAATGACAAGAGGTGCAATTGCCAATGTCATTTAGAAGGAGTATTCTCCAGTCAAACAGAAAACATATCTGTAAGCACTATGAAGACATGTTCTGGAAATCTCTACAAACCTTTTACATCCGTGACAACCGTGTAGGCTGGCTTGCTCCAATCACTCCAGTATCCCAGTCCATCTAGCCTCTTACAGCGCACCTGAGCACTGTACACTGCACACAGGTCTGGCACTGAGAGACTGGCAGATTTGGATTTTGCATCACGTACCTCATGCACCTGGAAAATAAGTCAAAGCCTTAAACTGAAGAAAGTATTAAACACATATGCTTCCCAAGGACTCCAAGAAGCATTTAATCTTAAACCTTAATACCTCCCCACATGAAGGTTCAGAAATAGTCACGTATCAGACTATGACTGTGAGCACCTTCAAGTCAGCCATTTTCTTACTCCTTGTGTCTTTGCGTTCGTGATGGCACAAAGATTTCAGACTAGTTCACTTACAGCCTCATTCTCTAACATTCTCTGACCCTACTACTTATCTTCATCTACTTTTAGGAATTTTAAATTACTAGTTACACAGAAGCTATGTGAGCATCTCTGATATGCAGTGTCTCCCTCCAAAAGCAGGGACATCACTGCAAGCATTTCAACTACAATCACTGTGGTCTAATGGCATGGTTAGGGTTCTTGACATTTCCAAGTCTTTGCAGGCTGCTGTCATACAGCCAGCATATGCACACCAGCTATTATGATTCTGATTCCAGATATTTAACAAAAGGAGCTTCTTCCAAAATGCATCTCACTGAGTTTTTGTGTACTGATGCTTATTAAAAACATTAGAGGAAGAAAATTTCCTTGGAAAAATTTAGAAAATTTGGGTAAAATAAAGTTGCAAAAATTTCTTTAATGTGGACACTTTCCAACATTTAATATTTAATACTCTGTGATACTATACTAGACGATACAGTTAGTAATACAATTTACTAAAGTTATTCAGTCATTTGCTTTTTATTTCAAGGAACTTTTTATCGGAGCAATGTTTTAGGACATACATTTCGGGAAGTGACATTTGTGTGCCTTAAAAAGGTTCAACTTGAGTTAAACTACTTAGTGAAAATAGCTACACAAACAGGAGGATGTCCTTGTAACAATATTCAGTAAAACTCTTAAACATAAAAAAATCACATTTTGTGAAGCAAGTTGAAGAAATCACAAAGTAGGAAGTACCTTCCATTGTGTTTCTTTTCCATGTAAGCCATAGCGAATCTGGAACTGAAGGTTGTTCTCTGGGAAGATTGGCTTTTCCCAAGATAACTTCAATAGGCCAACGTTTACAGTGATCTCTGCTTTGACACTGGACGGTGGCAATGGTTTCACTAGAAATTTGAAAGACATTATTACATATAACAAGAACAATACTTAGATACATTGCTTCATTTTTAACTTGTTATTTATAAAGCAATATCTCTTTTCAAATCTTTCTCATTCACTTTCTCATTTTACCTCCTACAATTTTCTGTCCTATATAAGAAAAAGGCTATCTATTTTGCAAATAAACATGATGATTGAAGATAATCAGTACACTATCCATGTCATTTTGCAAATTTCCAGTCATTCCTGACTGGAAATTGACCCTTGACTCTCACATGCAAATGCTGATATATTAAATACCCAATATATATAAATAGGAAATGTTTTCTATAGAGCTGTAATTAAAGACAAAAAAGCAAATACATTAAATTCCACATGCATGAGTTTCAAACTTTTGCTATCATTGGGTATTTCTGATCAATCAAAATCAAAGATACCTGCTTGCTTCTGTAGCACATTTACAAAATCAAAGATACAGTCTCAGTATAAACCTTTGTTTTTCTATAATTGGGAGAAGAAGCTTTGAGTGGGCAGCTACAGAGGCAAAAATTATTCGAACTGCAAGTAATTTTGTTAAAAGTAAGTATATATACATATATACACACATAATTATATATGCACACAAACAGGCAAGACACTTAAAAGCATAATGGAAAAATCAAGATACAAAGAAAAAAGTCATCTTTCTTCTTTGCTAACCCTTTTTGATGTTATTGATCTCAAATCTAAGTCAAAACATTAGTTTAGGTTTATGTCCACTGCACAAACCATCCTTAATCTTAAATTTTTTACTTTGAAGGTCACTCCTAAATAGTAAAAAGTAACACAGAAGTTCAGCATATTTAAAATGAAGCTGGAGCTGGGCCCGGCGCGGTGGCGCAAAGTGGTTAAGGTCCTCCCCTTGCACGCCCCGGATCCCATATGGGCGCTGGTTCTAATCCCGGCGGCCCCGCTTCCCTTCCAGCTCCCTGCCTGTGGCCCAGGAAAGCAGTCGAGGACGGCCCAAAGCTGTGGGACCCTGCACCAGTGTGGGAGACCCGGAAGAGGCTCCTGGCTTCGGACCGGCATAGTATCGGCCCGTTGCGCTCACTTGGGGAGTGAATCATTGGACAGAAGATCTTCCTCTCTGTCTCTCCTCTCTGTATATCCGCCTTTCCAATAAAAAAAATAATAATAATAAAAATAAATCTTTTAAAAAAATGAAGCTGGAGCTCTGAAGCTCATTCTGACGCCAAGTGTCAGTGTCACAGCACTGAATTCCATGATCAAGTTCAGATTGTCTGCTCTGAGTCCTGTGTAGACATTGGTTCCTGTCCCAGTTGCCCCACTTTCAATCCAGCTCCTACTAATGGCCTGAAAAAATAACAGAAAATAACCCAAGTGGTTGTGTCCTTTACACCTACAAAAGAAATTCTGATGAAGTTCACCTGCTTCTAGCTTCACCTGGTCCAGCCCTGGCCATTGGATCCATCCGTGGAGTGAACCGACAGATGGAAGATTCTCTATCTTCCCTCTCCCTCTCTTTCAATCTGACTTCCAAATAAATAAATCTTTTAAAAAAAATAATGTCCAATTCAGATTTGGGGGTGTTGCCAGATGACTTTTGAAAATACCATATGTTTTACCTGTGTCCACCAGAAACAAAAAATACAAGGAAGAGTACCTTATTTATGAAAATGTTAAATTTTGTTCACAGTATTTCATGTTAAAACACTAAACAGCATGATAAATATACTCCTATCACTGAAAAAGGTACATTACAGATAATTAAAAGTTGACACAAAACTATAAAACCTTCTCAAACTTTCCAGGTTAATTATTGTCATTTCCACTGTAAACAGAAATATTTCTTTTTTTTTCAAAATCTGTTGTGATAAAAAAAAAACTAGCAAAATATATGAATCATGAATCTATTTGCATCCAAATTTGTTGAAAAAAATAAAGACACAACATAGTTTCACGTACCCACAGAATCAGGAAGGAAGCATGTTGGAGGAGACTCCAGTAAACCTAAAGAGTGGTTGACCCTAATCCACATTGTGTAGCCAGATAATAGAAAGATTGGCTGGAAAACGCACTCATAGAAACCATCCTTCTGCAAATGGCATTCTTTGGGTTCAGATTTGGGATGAATATATGGAATATCAGAGCAATAAAGGGTGCTCCTTAAGAAAAACAAAAATAGTTGATTAATTTACAACATAGGCAGAAAATTTTGAATAATACTTTTGCTCATTAAAGTAGAAATGTTTTGCTACATCTAAAAACAAATGATCTGACAGAATGGCACTCTTGAATTCCCAGCTGTGTCCCAATTTATATCTTTACACAGAAACAGACAATAGCTCTTATTAAACATTTGGTTAGATACTAAGTAGGGATGTAAGTGAAATAAATGTTCTATGAAGAAGATGATGAATTAATTAAAATAGAACGTATAATAGCTTTAAAGCTATACTTTCATTATACATTAATGATACAATCTGAAATGTGTAGATCAAAAGTAATGACACATTCCTGGAGTGGAAGAAAGGTGGATTCTTCACACTGTAAATGAGAACTTACATTTTTAACACACGTTGAGAACATAACCTACAGTAGTTATAGCTCAACTGACAATGGACAACTATTTTCTACTTAATTAATGTAACTGAAATAATCCCAATCCTTGATAGGTGTATGAATCATACAACCAAATCTAGTAAGACTTTTTTTTTTAGTTTTATAAATGAATCGAAATCAACACTCCACCGCAGGACATACAAGGACTTCTTCTCTCTTAAAAAGCTCTTCTGTCACTATCTGCCCTGAATCTGACATTGAAATGGGTAATGTAGCAGATACTCTTCCTCTGGGAACAGGAGCAAGGAGAGAAGAGCGAGAGGGGAAAAATAATCTGTCTTCATGTTCCATTTTTCAATTTTATAACACTTTTTTGGTTATGTTCTCAAAATTACAATCATAATTGCAGGCATGCAAGTGTGAAAGTGGAAGTGAGAGGGAGAAAAAAGAGGGATGAGGGAACTTCTTGAGTAGAAAAAGTCGGCACCACTATGGTCAGGACAGCCTGACACGTACAAATGCTTACGAAGAAAAATGGCACCATTTCTTTCCATTAAATGAAGCATATTCAATTCTCACAGAAACCCTGCAAGTCCTATTAGGTCAAATTTCAGAGAGGCTACTTCTGTACATGTCAGTAAAACAAATAAGACAAGGGACTTAGGTAATCGTCCTATATTGACACATTTTCGCATGGAAGAACCCCTGAGAAAACCCTGAAGACGGATTTTACAAGCAAAGTAGCATACCAGGAATTTGCCCTCGGTTAAAAAAAAATATCCACTAGGCTGAGAAACGGCTATTGCTGTTTGAGACAAGCAGAGTTTATTTCGGTTTTTCTAGTACTTCATGAGAATAGACTGTAGTGTTAGGGATGGACTTCAAATCCCAGAATTTTATAAGACTGGGGGATGATTTGTCTTTCAAGTTGAAAATTAAGAATAAATTAAGAAGGCAATGTTATAGCATGTGACCGCCTGTGACACCACCTTCCTACATGTACACCAGTTTGAGTCCTGTGTGTTCCACTTTTGATCCACTTCCCTGCTAACACTGACCTGTTCGGAACAGAGAAAACAGCCCAGGTGCTTGGGAGATGCGGAACAAGTTCCTGGCTCCCAGCTTCGGACCAGACCAGGCTGTTGTCATCATTTAAGGAATGAACCAATGGATAGAAAATCTCTCTCCCTCCCAACCCCTTTCCTTCTGTAACTCTGACTTCCAAATAAATTAATAAGTCTTTTTAAAAAATGAAAATGATGTACCAATTGTATACTTCCAGCATAATTTTCTTTAAAGATTAAGCCATAGTGTTTAAGAACAGTACAGAGTTGAAAATTACTATGGAATATTTGAAATATAAATATGCCTTTCTCCTAATTAAGGATGGCATTTCAAACAGAATATTTTATAGTAAGGAAGAAAACACTGTAAAAAAAATGCCTTTATTTGTTTTTAGAATAAAATGGGTAAAAATAAGCCCCAGACAGGCATTTGTCCTGGCAGTTAATGCGCTGTCACAGAAGGCCACGTGCCCAGTCCCAGGTCCTTGCCTAAGCACAACTTCTTGCTAATGTTAGAAAGCAGCAAATGATGGCTCCAGTAGTTAAAGTTGAACCTCTGTCACTCACGGGGCAAAAGTGGTTGGAGTTGTTGGCTCCAGGCTGCAGTCTGGCCCAGCCTTGATTGTTGTGGGCATTTGGGGAGTGATCCAACAGAAGAAATTCTGTGTGTGTGTGTGTGTGTGTGTGTGTGTGTGTGTGTGTCCCTTTCCCTCTAGCTCTTTCTCCAAATGAAACTCATGTTTTAATTTATCATAACACATTATTTTTTAAGAACTACTAGTGTTTGTTTCCTAAGTTACCTCATCTAGTTATTAAAACCAGGCATTTATGTCTCATAATCTTTTTATCTCTTTTTTTCTGTAACACTGATTCTTACCCAAATGATATTAAACTCTTAAAATCTTCCACATTCTCTTTTTGAAAATTCTGTACATAAAATTAAAATGTATATAAACTAACTTAATGTGCTTATAAACTAACTTTGCTTATATTAGAGTTAAAATGCAATTATGAACAATAGGTTATCAGAACAGACATCATAATTATAATTATATTTTTATATTATAATTATATAATTATAATTGTCTTACTTCAGTTGTGAATGTTCTCAAGAATTACTAATTGAATCCCTCAGAAACTTCTGAATTTGCCATATTCAACCTTTCTTTTTCAGAAAGAAAACTCACAAGACTACCACTGGCACAGGGGTAGCTGTATAGAAAATTGTTAGCTCAGGGCTGCTGTTGTAATTCAGTGGGTTAAGCCAACACCTGAAGCACCAGCATGCCATATATGTGCCAGTTTGAATTTCAGCTGCCTCATTTCTGATCCAGCTCCTTGCAATGCTCCTGGGAAAGTAGCGGGGAAATGGCCCAAGCGTTGGGCACCGGCACCCACACAGATATCCAAATGAAGCTCCTGCCTCTAGGCTTTGGCGCCATCCTCGCCAGTGCTACAATCTGGGGAGTGAACCTGTCACTCACCTTACTCTTTTCCTTTTTTTTTTTAACTCTGCCTTCCAGATAAATAAATATATCTTTAAAAAGTTACGTTTTTAGCTCATCAAACCCAAAGAAATATAAAACAACAAAGATAATACATACCTATGATACCTCAACTGCAATGTATTTCCTGCAAGTGATTGGCTTGTATTGGGTGACCATCTGCAAGTCATTTTAGTTAAGTACCCATCAGTTTCACATGATATATTGATATTGACATCTATTTAAAACACATTAAAATATTAATACAAAGCAAAAACACCAAAAAATTGTAATGAAAAAAAAAACCTTTCTTACATCTTCAATAGGACTCTAAAAGAGGGTCCACATGAAAACTACCTCATGAAAAGCAAAGCAAACGGAACCTCTGAGTTCTTACCGACCACGTATAATTCCGCGTAGCGGTGATGGCATTCCTGCTCACTGCAGCAGTACACTGCGTCGTAGGTAAACTTCCCTCGAGGCTTGGTTGCATTCACACTGGGAAAAGTGACTTTGCTAACATGGTCATTCACGACAGTATATTGGCTTCGAGGAATTTTCTCAGCTAAATTCATCCACCAAATAATCTTTTTTGAGGACAAAATCTTCTCATTTTTATAGATGCAGTGAAAAGAAACGTTAGACCCCACAGTTGTCAGAATTTTAGGTGGAAAGTAAATGACATCTAAAGAGGGAAGAAAAGCAGGTTATCAGATAGAAAAGATCGCTGAGCAACTTGTAGCACTGTATAACTAAAATGCATATATGTATGTACATATTAAATATATATAAATATATACACATATATTTATATTCACAGCACATTCCAGAGCCAAAAATAAGACAATCACACTAAGAAACTAGACAACTCTGATTCCTGGTTCTTGTACAATTGTTTAGTTTTTCTATAACTGATACTTATTCCACGAACATCTCCACTGTTATCTAAATGCAAAGGCTTATTCATCATAAAATGCTTGTCAATATTTGTTACCTGTAACTGATAGGTAGAAAATGGGTGAAAATGAAATATAGTTTAATTCCACAATAAATGCTTCCCCATCAAACCCTGTCTGAAGAATCTGTAAAACCTAGAATGAATTCTTAAGACAAAACACCATGAGACAAAATCCTGAATAATAATTTTTGCTATCACTTTAATTGTATACATTACTATTTTAATGAACAGGTAAAGTAGAAAAGTGATGTATAAATAAGAAAATTGGCTAGGAAAAGTAACATGAATGACTCACCAATACAAGAAATTTGGAAAGGTAAAACTATTTGTTTAGAGTCTCATTTGAGTTATTCAATATCCTGTTAACTCTCATTTGAGTTAACCAATATCCTGTCAATTAAGAGAAACCAATATAAAACATAATTTTTATGGTCATATACTATTTCCTATGTTTCCAGTGTTATTATTTAATTTGCTTATTATTTTCAATGAGGAACAAGATTAAATGACAAAAATTTTTCTGTCACAGTGCATTCATCAACATGATTTATAACAATCCATTTTTTTTTCTGATAAAATGTGAAAACTGATTTTATACCTATCTTGGATTATGCTTCAAAACAAACCGAAAAATATTTTTTGAAAAACCTATTGCTTTTATTGCCCACATTTACTCTGTGACACCTGCTAAGTTCCAACAGCTTTATACTTACATTGTATAAGACTTTTGGGTTTCATGTATTTGTAGTCAAAAAGAAACTGGAAAAAAAGAAAAACCCTGCCTCATGAAGTTACATTAAGCACAGGAGCCAGGGTGAGGACAACTAAGCCAGGACGGCTGTCAGCATCACTTGGTCACTCCTTACTGAAGACCAGGGGGTGTATTCATCCACTCCAGTACGCTCCACACCCTCATTACTGAACTGACACAAAGGACGCAGAATAAATCAGTTTTTACAAATTAAGTTGAAGCTTTTTGTCCTACAGATGACAGGGCAAAACTTCAACATATTCACTTCAACATCAAATCAAACAATAAAATTTACTTGAGCAATAAGCCTAAAACCATGGTAGTTAGGCATGATTAAATATTAGCTAGATTTTTTAAGCATGTTAATGTAAACCTGACAATTGATGAAACTTAAATTAAAAATGCATTGAGACTGACAAAAAGCAAATGTTAAATAATTAATTGATAAAATAATATAAATTCCATCCTCAAATGAAATACTATGCAGTATTTGTGCAGTAATAAAACAAAAATGATCTTATTTTTTTTTAAAGATTTATTTTTATTATTTTTTTTTTATTGGAAAGACAGATATACAGAGAGGAGAGACAGAGAGGAAGATCTTCCATCCAATGATTCACTCCCCAAGTGAGTGCAATGGCCGATGCTATGCCGATCCGAAGCCAGGAGCCTCTTCTGGGTCTCCCACACCAGTGCAGGGTCCCAAAGCCTTGGGCCGTCCTCTGCTGCTTTCCCGGGCCACAGGCAGGGAGCTGGAAGGGAAGCGGGACTGCCAGGATAGAACCGGCGCCCATATACTGGATCCTGGGCGTGCAAGGCGAGGACCTTAACCACTTGCGCCACTGCGCCAGGCCCTGATCTTATTCTTATGACCCATTAACAATCCTCTTATAAAATCTACAAAACAAATCCTGTTAAAGTAATATTCAATTGGCAAATATGTTTGAATTTCCCCAAAATATTATTTATGAATCAAAACATTTTGGATAGGTTATTTTTAAATGTATTCATGATAGCTCCAGAAAACACACTTCGTTTATTCTTGGAGCAGATGCACCTGTTCTTTTCTAAGAGGAAAATATTTTCTCTGACCCGTTATAAGAGTTGTCAAAAAGAAATATAACAATTGTCTAAAATCAGTCTTTTCGCTTCTCTGGTAGCAACAAAAACGTGGTTAATGACAAATTACAAAAATTCAGTATTTCTAAGGTTTTAGTATTTGGCACAATCTAAATCTAGTATTTGTGAGTTTTGTAAGTTCTGGCAAAACTCCTAGATTTTCCTCTAAACACCCAAAACCCCATAGTCACAATCTAGTCAATTAATCTCAACAGAATTCACAAGAATTTCTTAATTAGACATAGTTAATATTTTATTAACTGTGTTCCAGGTGAGTAAAATTATATCACTATAAAGTTGCAACTATAAAGGTACTGATAATTTATATTGCTTCCAATGGCAGCAATATGTCAGGAAACATCTATTCTCCCCCAACTCCCACCAAAAGTTCCATAAAATGAAAGGCAGTCAGTATTTGGAAACAATAAGGCAAATACATGAATCCACTCAAAAGAATGACTCAACATTACATATTGCTTCTTTCTGGTAGTCGGCATTATACAATGATATCAAATATCTAAATTCAAATCCCTATATGTTTGGGAAGTTCACAAGTTGGAGAAACATCATTTCTGTTATACATCATCCAGGTACAAAAGTTCAATTGTGGTTTAAGAGTTGTGATGTGGGGCCCTTTGAAGGTCACTCCTAAATAGTAAAAAGTAACACAGAAGTTCAGCATATTTAAAATGAAGCTGGAGCTGGGCCCGGCACAGTGGCGCAAGTGGTTAAGGTCCTCACCTTGCACGCCCTGGATCCCATATGGGCGCTGGTTCTATCCCAGCAGCCCCGCTTCCCTTCCAGCTCCCTGTCTGTGGCCCAGGAAAGCAGTTGAGGACGGCCCAAAGCCTTGGGACCCTGCACCCGCGTGGGAGACCCGGAAGAGGCTCCTGGCTTCGGACCGGCATAGCATCGGCCGTTGCGCTTACTTGGGGAGTGAATCATCGGATGGAAGATCTTCCTCTCTGTCTCTCCTCTCTGTATATCCGCCTTCCCAATAACAAAAATAAATCTTTCAAAAAAAAAGAGTTGTGATGTATAGAAACAACCTCAAAATCACTGCTCTAGGTTAAGCCTTAAGTGTGCAGTCATTTTGGGAGTAAACCTGTAGATAGAGGCTCTATGTAAATCGCTCTTTCTATCTCAGCTAAATATAACACAAAATCCGTTATATTATCTAGGATTGAATTTCTCACCTTAATCCAACTACATACATTATACTGCTAAGAATTATAATTCTTTCCTAGTTTTTAAAGATATATCTATAGATGTATCTTTATAAGATACAATATTGCTTAGTGTATAGATGTATCTTTAAAAACTATATATATATATATATATTTATTTATTTTTATTGAAAAGTCAGAAACACAGAGAGGAGGTGAGACAGACAGGAAGATCTTTTGTCCACTGATTCACTCTTCAGATGGCCACAACAGCCAGAGCTGAGCTGACTGGAAGCCAGGAGCCCAGAGCCTCTTCTGGGTCTGCCACGCAGGCACAGGTTCCCAAGGTTTTGGGTCATCCTCGACTGGCCTCCTAGGCTACAAGCAGGGAGCTGGATGGGAAGCAGTGCAGCCGGGTTATGAACAGGTGCCCAAATGTGATCCTAGTGCATACAAGGTGAGGACTTTAGGATCTAAGCTATGGTGCCAAGACCTAGATGCATTTATTTTTATTTGAGAGACAGATTTTGCAGAAAGAGAGAGAAAGGGAGACAGAGAGGTGTTTCATCCCCTAGCTCACTCCTCAAATGGTCAAAACAGCTAAAGATGAACAGATCCAAAATCAGGAGCCATTAACTTTCGCCAGGTCTCCCACATGAGTACAGGGTCCAGGACATGAGCCATCCTCTGTTACTTTCCCAATCCATAAGCAAGGAACTGGATTGGAAGTGAAGAAGCTGGGAAACGAACTGGCGCCCATATGGCATGCTGGCACTGCAGGTGGAGGATTAGCACACTGTACAAAGCACCAGTCAAAAGAATTATTATTGGTAAGAAACCTTAATATATAATTTGAATCATAGAAAATTTTGAAAACCAACAGTGTCTTTTCAGAATTTCTTAGTCATGGAAAATAGGCTTCCAGTTCAAACAAAAGAAACGGAGTGATAAGGAATGATGTCATTCCGTTGTAGACGTAATCACTTCTGTAGACAGTTACAGAAAGATGGGAGGGCACGGTTCCCTCAGCAGAGGTCGGGGCTAAGGCCTTCTACTGCTCTGGTAAAAGTCCTCTCGCCCCACCCACTTCAAGTATTTACAAACCTCTACTTGGGACATTTTCAAAATACGATATTGCTAATTCATTCCTTTTTATTGCCAATTCTATTAGTCAATTATAAAAAGTTAAGAAAAGTAGATTTAGCCTTCCTCAGAACAGTCTCAAAAGCTTAATTTTCAGCATCAAGATACATACATTTGTCATAGTCAATAATGACTTGAGGAAAACAGATGTAAATGATTTGAGGAATAAAGGTAAAAAATTAAACTTAGTAACCCAAGATCCCTAGCTCTCCCATTGCTCCCATTACTTTTTAAGTTATTCTCACAATATTGCTTGGTGCTAAGCAATCAATTGTACATCTGTTAGTACATTATGAAATTTAGAATACATGAAGTATGAATTAACAACATTTAGTATTTATTGAGTGCCTACTATGCACCTTTATGTACATTATTTTATTTTATCCATATAAAAATATTTATTTCACCTATGAGAATATCAAAGTGTGGTAAATGCTACCATCTAAACATGGCTTGCCCCCAAAGGTGCATGTGTTGTAACCTTGCTTCTGGATATGGGACCTACCGGAGGGCAGCGAAATCATGAAAGAACTGCACTCTGAAGGGATTAATGCTAGTCTTGAAGACCAACTGGGAGAGTTCTCACAAGAGTGGGTTGTTATGAATGATGTCACCCCATATATTTGATCTCTTCTCTATGCACCCAGTTCTTTTTCTACTTTTCTACCATTGTTGTGACAACCCTACAAGAGGTACAATTTACATGACTGCCTAATCTGGGACTGTCAGCCTTTAATACCATGTGCTAAATAATCTTTTTTTTTTTTTATCAAGCCCATAGTTCAACTAGTCTGTTACAACAATAGAAAATAGATCAATACAGAAAGGTTAAGAAACTTTGCAAATAAGTGGAGAGACCAGGACTTGTAAAAATTTCCATTAGACTCCAAATTAGGGCTGCTAAGCCACAAGTAATAAGCAGTAAGTAAAAAATAAATAAACTTATTGGGTCAAGTGGGTTAAATATTTGCTCCCTGCTTCACTTGATACTTGCTGTCTCCATATTTCTGTAATTAAGGAGTTTGAATAAATAAAAGTCTGTCACACTGACAAGCTCAAGAGGAGCAGATTTCTCCATAGTCACAACTCAGCACAATTCCAAGGCTCCTGAACTTCTCATTAAAACACTAAACCTCATCTGCATAAGGAGGAGGTTCTTATAATGTTAAAAGTAACTTCAAATATATGACAAAGAAACATTGAAAACTCTCAAAATAAAGCATTGGTGACCAAACATTAATTTTTAGAAAATACTCAATTTTAATACAAAGTCTTAAAATTTGAAATGAATGTCAGATAAATACAAGTTACACAAGGCTTTCACATAAAATTTATGGAAATCAATACAAGTGGTTTTTACAAATATCAAATTAGAAATTTTATATTAATCTTTCATGTGATACCAAAAAAATTCCGGTATTACTATATGTACACAAACCTAGATCAGATATAATTTTAATGTCCAAATCAGCTTGTGCAAAACTTTACTACAAAGTTAATATTGTATCCCTTTTTGCTTTAGCATCATAAGGTTTAAGATGCTTATAATATATCAAAGACAAATTCAGTAAGTGGATACCATACCTTGAGTGGTAAAGGTCTGAGGAGTGCTCCAGTCGCTCCACATGCCTGGCCCATCCAGTCTCCTGCCCCTCACCTGAACCTCATATGTAGACCCTGGGAGCACACCATCCACCAACAGGAACGTAGCTACGACAGTCTCATTAGCCTGTTAAAAATTATTTAAAATTATTGGGGCATGAAGTAACAAGATTAATCATACACAAGTCTCAGCATAGAAGGCTTACACAGTAGTTACCTAGCCACGGTGGAATTAAACAAGCCAGTAACCAAAATAGCAAATGTGTATGCATTAATCGATAAAATGTCCATGGAGCCAAGAAAAATTATGGCAACTAGAAGAAATTTTAACTGGATGCTAATGAACAGAAAATCTTACTATTTTCAGAAATAAGAATGAAATGCAATACCAGTGATGTTTAGATTTTAAAAATCAGTCATTAATTCAAGACTCTGTAACTGCATGCGCACACACACACACACACACACACACACACGTGCTACATAATGAAATTTTGGTCAACTACAGTCAGCATGTATGACATTATAACAGAGCTGAAAACTTCCTATTACCTGGCGACATAATAGGCAAAGTATTATAGGTCTGCAGTGACATTTCCATCACATACAATTGTGGACAATATTTAACAAACAATTAATGACTGAATTACAGATTTTATACCTTTTACACTATAATACTTTCATTATTTCATATGATAAAAAAATCATGCACTCTCACACATCTGAGTTTCCCAGGCCTCTTGACTACATCAAGTGGCAACACTAAGACTTAGGCCATAGGTCTCACTTTCTCTCAAATACTCTTAAAAATAAATAAAATAAATTTTACAAAAACTGTTATGCCAACTAGGTTTATATAAACACACACTACAACGTTCTCAAAACCAAAATTTTTGCAAAATTTTTGGCAAAAAGTAAATCTTTTACTTCCATTTTCCATGAACTTTTAAAAGTATCTTTACATAGGTTATCTACAAAACATAACATTCAGTTAAAATTCATTCTGCTGAGTACCAATACTCGGTACGCAGAACATAATTTCTACAGGACTTGAGAATTCTTCAGTTACCATTCATATATCATTATGTTTACTAAAATATACTTACCTGTCTCATAATTGTAGAATTCTCTGAATATTTCACCTGATACTGAAGTGGAAATGGTACCTGGGTTGGGCTGGACCAAGAAATCTTTAAATTGCCCCTGTCTGTAATTTCCATATGCAATCCCAAGGGTGGATCAGGTTTCACTTAAGGGGAAAAGAGTAACTGTAAGTCAAGTGATTTTCAGGATAATCACATCTGAATAAAATGCAGGCAGAATTAATTCAATAAATGTGGTTTCCTGCTATTAAAAAAAAAACTACCCGTTTTTCTTAAGCTAATTTGAAGTTTCCCTCCAACCTCACCACTTCATTTGCTTTAGTAAGTTATAAGGTACAAGGACATTATTTGTAAAATATATAAAACCATTAAAATTTAGCATTCTCCATTGACTTCAACACTCAAGACACATCTGTTGAAATAACCCCCAACACAAATAAGCCCATGCAATGCCAACAGATCCTGGCATTGTCACCAGAAAGAGGGATGAAGGAAGGAAAAGAGAGGGGGAGGGAGAGTGGGAGGAAGGCAGGTAGAGAGTAACAAAAGAGAAAGAAAGAAGACAGAAAACATGCTCTCAAAAAAAAAAGAATTTAGGTGACATTTCAGGGACGTTAAATCACAGAAGTTACTCATAGCATGCCCTGGTACCACACTTAACTACTGTTCACAATATGTCCATGTGAAATAGGCTCGAGAAAAGTCTTGAAAACAATGTTTAAGCTGTTTGGATGGCAGGTGTTTAAGTGTTACCACCGCACATTCAACTCACCGACATTTATTGGCTGAACTGACATTAGCGGGGACCGGAAAAACATTCCACCGGATGTAACTTTGAAATATGCAAGGAGAGTATAGTTGAGCTTGGCTGCTGGCACAGGCACATGACACTCACAGCATTCGTGAACATTGCAGTTGCACTGAACCTTCGTAAAACTGCCTTTCTGGGGGACCAGAAAAAAATCTTCCAACACTTCAGGCCTGTATTTAAAAAGAAGAACTAATATTAACACAGCAGTAAAAGTCTTAGGTAGGTTTCATACTGAAGACACTATGTCCAAACTGAAGTCAACTTTACCGACACCAGACTTACAGAATATTGGGATGACAGGCGGCGGCGGGACTAGAGCCATGGTGGGTAAGAGAACATATCAGAAAAAAAAAAAGTATTACAGCAAGTTTATCATCAGAAATTACATAAACAAGGTGTGGACAACATCACAGTGATGTGTTAAAAAGGAAAAAATGCTGCAAACCTAAAACCCTGCGTCCAGTGAAAAGACCTTCAAGCTAAAGATGAAATGAAGACTTTTTTCAGACATCCCAAAATTAAAAAAAAAGGTACTATGCCATGAATCCTGCATTACTTAAAAATGTTAAAGGAATTACCAGTTGGTGAATTGGTCTCTTTTCTGTTACAAAATGGCTTTCTTTAAGAAAAATTAAAATCAGACATTCAAAAATCTGGTTTCATACAAAGAACGAAATGTAAGTAAAAAGAAAAATATTTACTAAATAGTTAAAACAAAAGTGTGAGGTTTGTAACACAGTTAACATTTACTTTATATAACTACCCTACATTTTATAAGAACAATATCAAATGGATGCCACCTGAGTTCCTGTTACCTAACCAATTACCAAATTTAGTTGACAAATCAAAAAGAAAAATTCAAAAAAGAGCTTTAGCTTTGCAAATCACATTTAATCAAGTCACTATTTTAAACCTCAGGTCATACATAGAAATGTAGAAATGTTACCCCAAAAATATATCTTTCCATCTCAAATCATTTATTGACTGAGTTAGTGTCCCAGACTAATTGCATCAGAAGAATTACCTGGAGCACTGCTAAACTAGACTGTTATCCCCAGAAATGTAGTAGGCCCAAGGCTGTCAGTTCTGTTTTCAATGAACAGTCTTGGTCTGCTTGCAAGCCTACTGAATCAGGCCCACGTGAAAAGCACTGACTTACATAAACCCTATCAAGACAAGAGAAACATTCTGTAAAGTTGAAAATATTCTTCAGATGTAAGATACCACCAACAAATTTAAAATCAGTAACGATGAGACAAGAGAAAATGGGGGGTGGGGGAAGACAAAAGAAAAAGAAAAGAAAGCATGAAAAAAAAAAGACCTTGACATCCAGCAAATGAATGACATAATCACATAAAGGAGAGACAAGACTTATTCCAATTTACTTTGGAACATAATATTTTGGTGACATAACCCTTGCCTTAGTAAAAACAAATGAGTGTAAACAGTACTCTGCTGAAATCTAGTTAGTGTGGTTTTGCTTTTCACAGTGGCATGGGTTATCAGTTCCAACTCCAAAACTATCTCACGTCAATTCTAGGACTGAGTAAATAAATAATCTAATGTGGGGAAAGGTTCCACATTTCTCATTGCTAAAGAAGGGAACAGAGAAAGGGGAGAAGGGAAACAAAAGTCTAGTTGAACCACATGATTTCGGACTTGAATGAGACACATTTATATGAATAAATTCATTTTCTTCACATGTGTATGAACAGAAAAAAAGTATAGATATATAAATAATCAGAAGGTATATATGTGTGTGTGTGTGTGTATACGTGTATATACACATACCTATAACGCTGAGAGACAGCTCGGTAAAATGAGCAATACTACTCAGTCATTAAAAAAATTTCTTTGAAATCTTGTCTTTGCAACTAAATTGACCCAACTGGACACCGCTATGCTAAATGAAATAAGCCAGCCCCCAAAAGGCAAATTCATGGCTTTTCCCTGATCTGTGATAATACACAGAGTGCAAGAAATTTAATTGCTAGAATCAAGATTTAACATCCTGCAGTTTAGTTATTGTTTAGAGCCTTTGTCTATGCTCCTAAGGAATAACAGGCTCTTCCTTGTCATAGAATATGTTTTTGTCTGAAAATTTCACTTGACCTTTTGTATCTTCTTTTTCCTTCTTCACTATTGCCACGCTTTCCTGTGTATTAGGAATGTGTGCAGCTAATTCCCTCACCTCTGTCATTTCTGTGCCTGGTCTCCTGGTTAAGTCACACTTTCCTTTTCATTTATCCAGTACTATTTTTACTACATGGCGGACACTGTAAATTTTACACTTTTTGAGTATGTTATTATACTATTTTGCTTTAAAGAGTGTTGGATTGTTTCAGCAATCAATTAAGTTACTTAGGCACTATTGTGAGTCCTTAAAGCCTTATAAGCTTTCGGGGAAGATGTTGGAAAAGCCTTCTCTTTAGAGATAATTTGGATCCACTTAGAAACTGCAGCTATTACAGATTTGGGTGTGGGGGGGGTTGTTTTGTTTTGTTTTGTTTTGTTTTGTTTCCAAAATGTCATTGATACTCAACAAGTTCTACCTAATATGCTTTATAAGAACTTGTATGAATCAGAGCCTTGAATGACTTAAATAATAAATATACTTGCAGCTCCCTAGTAACTGTCCATTTCCTAGACCTTACGTCAGTCTCATGACCAGATTAGTGTTCAGCTCAAAAGTAAAAGCATTCCCACTGAAAATTCCTGTGTGCTCTTTCTTCCAAGCACTCTGCCCTCCAGGATTGCAGCCTCTTAGCACTATCTGAACTTAGACCCCTGTCTCCTCAGTGCAGACTGCTGGGGCTGGCTGATGCCTCCAGCCCCGTGCATGCCCCCAGCCCCGTGCATGCCCCCAGCCCCGTGCATGCTCCCAGCCCCGTGCATGCTCCTGCCTGCAGTCTAGAAAGACTCAGTAATGATGGGGCTCAATTTGTTTCCTTCTCAGAAACCGTGGTTTTGTCTTTGCTCTATGTGTAAAAATAATTACTTCCCACACTTGTCTAGCTGTTTAGGGAAGTAATCCAAGACCATTTTATTTCCTGATTGCCAGGACCACTTTTACTGACTTCTTAAGGAGGTTATGTACTCACACTGTTTAAACTGTTTTCTTCAAAAAAGGAGAAATTGTTGAAATTGAGTGATTACTTGATGGAAATGTTTGATCAAGATTTATTTTTTAATGTGAATTATTATAGCATTGTCTCTTAGTTGCAAAGAAAACTTAATGTTGTAGGCAAGACAGGATGATGACAATAACAAAGTCCTTGAGAAACAACAGAACACACAAGAAAGGGTCCAGCTTATACTGGACCACAGTATACTGGAGCACACAGAATCCACTCACAATTGAGCAACTGTTATATGTTCTCTCTGATAGAAGGCAACCTTCATGCAAAGCACAAGCTGAATAGATGTACAGGTAAACATCCATGTACAAATAGTCATCTAGAGGAACTGTAAAATGGAGACTATCATATCAAGATGTGAAAATACAATGCAGTATGCATCTCTACTTCCAAGTCAAAGATGAACTCCTGATAAAAGTGTTAAGTTTATCTTGACAATAGGACGCTGGACTCTTTGCCATTGTCCATGCCTACAATGTCAGGATTCATTTAAATAGCAGAATGATGGACTTAAAACTATTTATGAAGGACTTTATGATTGTAATAAAATAGGAAAAATCAGTAGCTGGAGGTGATTCAGGGAGAAGGTGAGAGGAAATCCCAGAGGATATGGAACTGTATCATAAAATCAATTAATCTTTTTAAAATAAGATAAAATAGAATACAAAAAAGATTTAACAAACAGAAGAACTTTAGATATTTATAGGGTGCCATGTGGCATTCTAACATGCTTTTTCTTTTTAAATTTTTACTGTAGTAAGATATACATAACATAAAAATTACCTTTCTAAGAGTAGGGATTTATCAGCATCAGGTACATTCACATTGCTGTACAACTGTCATCACCATCCAACATCAGAATTTTCCTTCAACTTCCATAACTCAATTCCACTAAGCAATAACTCTCCTCTATCCAACCTGCAGTCCCTGTTAACCACTACACCACTTTCTGTTTATTCTTCTTTAACAACACAGTATCTAAACTATGTGTACAACTGTACAACTCAAAGAGGTAAATCTTTTTCTTTTTAAATATCAAATTAAAGAACAAATAAAAATAATTTTAGGTGCTGGTATATCAGGTAAAACTGCCTTCTGCAATACCAACATCCCATTGAGGCACCAGCTTGTGATTCGGCTGCTCCACTTCTATTCCAGCTCCCTGCTACTGGACTGGGAAAAACAGTATAAGATGAACCAAGTGTCTGCACTCTGTACCCATGTGGAAGACCTACAGGAAGCTTCTGGCTCCTGGCTTTGGCCAGGCTCACCCCTTGCCATCAAGGTGGAGTCAATTAATAGACGGAAGATCTTACAGGCTCTGTTTTCCCTCTCTCTTTAACTGTTTCAGAAAAATAAATAATATTTTAAAAGGAAACAATTTTTAAAAGCTAAAATTCACATAGAAATGGTGTATATTATTGCTGGAGCTATAGGAAGACAAATGGTATGTGGGTGTCTAAAATTACCAGCTTGGGGGCAGGTGTTTGGCTTAGAAGCTATGACACTGCTTGAAACATCTACAACTTGTATCAAAATGCCTGGTTTCAGCCCTGGCCCCTGGACTTCCAATCCAGCTTCCTGCTAACATGCACCCCAGGAGGCAGCAGGGGATGCCTCAAGTATTTGGGTTCTTACTACAGACAATAGAGACACAGACTGAGTTCCAACCTGGCCCAGCCCTGGTATTTGAAGGCATTTTAGGGAGTGAACCAAACGATGTAGGATTTCTGTCTCTTTCTGTCTCTTTCCAATGCAATAAAAATCATCAAACCATTTGAAAGTTGATAAATAAAATCAGTGTCTTAGCTCTGTACCAAGGATAAGTAAATATTAAATGCTAATATTTTTAAGTTAGTAAAAATATTAAAGTCTTTTCCCCCTTTTCCACTCATATATGTATGTTCCCTAACTTGAGTTCACACTCCTTCAGACCATATGCTCACCCATATCTGCTTTATCTTGCAACCTGAGTCAACAGGAATCCAATAAAATGAATGCTGTATGAAAAAAACATACAAACTGCTCTCCTTAAATGGACAGAGATATAAAAGGAAATATAGAGGTTTCATCATTTACTTCTATATATAGAAGCCCTTACCTTTAAAAGAATTGTGGCAATAACAATGTCCTAGTTTATTTATTTGGTACTTACAGAACATATAAAAGATGAACCTTAAGGTCATAATTCTTGAAAGGATTCCTAAGTAATGACTCCATATAACAGATGAATAATTTCAAGTCCCCCTTCATCTGGCACTGTATGTTCCAGTTTGCACCTAAATTAAAAATAAACTATAATAAATCTGAAAAACATTCTGAACAACTCAGTGAAACAGAAAAGCTAAATTAAATTTAGCAATGTTCTGATACGACATCCACTGCCCAATCTACAAGAGAAAGAGCAGGCTTAAACTAGCGGTATGTACACGCCCAAGTCATTTAGTCTCTTTGGTCTTCAGTTTCCTTTCATGTCACGAAAATTCAATTCAATTATTGCTTCTCAAACATTTGCTTAATCTCAAGCCAATAAAGGAGGGTAAAATATCCATAAACACTTATATGTCAGCTTATTCTCACTTTCTTACAGGAAAAAGGAACACCACCAAAGTACAAGCAACTTGAGAGTCATGTTTATGTGTCTGCTTTTGTAAATGCAGGTACAGTGATTCGCCTTCATACTTAATGACCATCACTGAAATGTTACGGGCCTAAATATAACTGATGAGAGATTTCACTGCACACTGAAACTTTCACCTGATAATAATGAAGATGAACAATCACTGATTTGTAATTTAAAAAGCAAGAATGGAAACTAGTAAAAATCATTATGACATTAAGACTGGCTTAAGACAACGTTGATATATGCTTATTTTCCCAAACCAGAAGGAGTTAAAGCTGGAAAAATTGTGCAACCCTTTCGAGTCCTATGAAGTACGCAACCTACTTGGCCAAAAAATGCAATGAAATCCTCAATCTGAGTTAACCTGGTTCTTTCAGCTTTCAAAATGTAAACCCATTTAAAAAATTACTAGTTGCTAACCTTCATTTGTCATGTGAAACTAAAAACTACAGCACAGTAATAATTCACCTTCATCACTGATAACTCTTTATTATTTCTTTTTTTGTTTTTTGGGGTTTTTTTTTAAATTTCATTTTAACTCTTTATTATTTCATGACTCATCACTAGCAACCCAACTATTTAGGCTCATTCTTAGTATATAAAAAAATTTTTTTAAAAAAGGTGGAAACTTATTTTAAACCAGAAAAAAATTTGAAGTCCATGCATAGATTCCACATAATACACATGGATCAAAACTGGGAGCTATAACTACCAACTTGTTTTGAAAAGTTTACTTCGTATTTATGCTTAGCTTTATTCAACACCCTGGAAAATTTTATCCACTTAACAGTGCTCAGCCCTAGGTGAATTCCTTCTTTAGACCTTAATAACCAAGCAGGAAAGGTTCCTGGTTCTGTGGTTAAAGCCCAGGGCTGTTCCTCACCATCCCATAGCATGGGACAATTCCCTATAAGTAAGAACTACTTGGCTCAAAACTTAATAGTATCAATGAGAATCTCTGTTCAATTTACATTGCAGTGATTTTTCATTCTGTAGATTTCTTAATATGGCTGACTCAATTAACTGTTATATTTATCCTTTCCAGAAAACAAATAAATTTGCTGCTTTTATTTCCAGATGAATGACAAACTACCCTTGTTAAAATTCAGTATGCATTATACTTCAAACAGCAAAATCCCTTGTTCCAAAATGTATATTGTTTCATATTTTCCCTGTCTAAAAAAATGTAATTATTCATAAACATTTCAATATTCAACAGATTCTATAGTATTATTCATCATTTGATATATCTATTTCACAAAATAAAGATGTGTTTTTTCTGCTTTAAAGCAAATTTATTAATATGTTAAAGTCACATTCATAAGTTACATATTTCACAAGATTCCAGAGAATTAAAACATTTTGTTCAATGTAATTTTTAAAAAGCTAGTGCTTGGAACATTACACTACTTACCTAGTTGCTGAAAAATCAAGGAATTTACAGTTGAAACAACTGTCTTCCCTTCTGTGTTGTCTGTATGCACAGTGCAGTTGGTGTCTTGCTCACTCCAAAAGCAACAGTGGAAAGTTGCTTGAGATAAGTTAGAAAAATATGTACCACTGGAATTAAATTCACCTTCAACAACTGCTCCATAAAGTCCATTCAAATTTGAAGTGTTCTTAGAGAGTCCAGCAGGCAAGAGGAAGGAGTCATGGGTTGCATTTGCTGGCATGCAAGACAACTTAAATCTCCAGGGAGTAATTGGATATGCCAAGTTAAATCCAGTTATCACGCAAACAAACTCTGTTAGAACATTAAAAAGACACACAAAAAAAAAAACAAGAAATCATTTTGATGAAGACTTAAAGAGGAAGTATGTGACATTAGACCATGTAGTACTCAGTAATGATTACTAAATATTCTAAGTGCTCAATCATTGCCTAATGAGTAACTTTTATTCTTCAATGATCAATAGTTAAGTATGTTCACTTAGTTATTGAAGTACCTCCACTCCCTGGCATCTCCTTTTGGAAATACGGGTTTTAGTTTTCCTCAGTAGTCTAGCATGCTATCTTTCTATTCTAACAAAAAGATATTTACATTATTTTCCTTTTGCAAATTAATGTAATTCTACCATCCTGCCAAATGATAAATATCTGTGTGTACAATTAGCTAACTAAACAATAAAATATTCTTTTGCATTTATTACAACGAGTAACATCAAAATGTTTACTTTCACTGACTCCTTACAAAGAATCTGTCATCAATGTGAGAATGGCTAGATGTTCCTCCATATAGAAGACATCCTATAAGATACTCTCTTAATTAAGGCACTCTCTACGCAGTGATGTGCAACATGTCTCTTATAGGAATAGTGTTGATCAAATTATCACTTTTAAACACATAAAAATTAGGAATACTCTCATAATTCTTCACTCTCCAGAATGCTCAAAAGTTAAATATGCAAGTTATTTGAAAATAAAATAATAATTAGTTCTCATAATACCCTTTTCAAATTACACAAATAACCAACAGTATTGCCACATATATATACAGACTTATGAGCAATCGGAATTCTGAGAAGTTTGCATGGATTTGTATGGAATGAGAATTTTGAAGAATTAGGGTAAATGTAAAAATGTAAGAAGATAGAAGCTATCAAGATGCTCTTCACTAGGTGAATGACGACACAGATTGTGGTATATCCAGACAATGGAATATTACTTACTCACTGAAAAATCCAAGAACTAGAATGGTGTGCGGGTAAGGCGGGGTCAGGCTGCAATACTAGCCAGTTTAGGTTAGGGATGGGACTGGGAGCTGCCTGGGCTATGCTGAGCTGGATGAGGCTGTAGCCCACACCAGCATGAGCTGGAACTGGAGGCAACATCGGACTGGGCCAGGCTACAGCACCCACTGGCAAATGCCAAGGTGAGGCAGGCCATGCCAGAATGGGCCACAACACTCAACAGCACACGAAACCTGGGGGGCAGGCAGTAAACACATTAGGGGGGGCTGCATGCGGCTCCCCTGCTGGACCATCTTTCCCACTGGTAAACGTGAAAGCTGGGATTGGGGACAGATCAGGCTGGGCAGGGTCACAACACCTGTTGGCCTCTTATGAGCAGGATCAGGGGAAAACTAGGCTGGGTTGACTGTTCCTACTGGTGCATGCATAAGTCAGAGTGGATGTGGGCTGGTTAGGCTTTACCACAGCATCAGTTGGCAGATGCTGGAATGGGGAGCATATTCTATCAAGTTAAACTGCAGATCCACCTGGAGAGTGCAAGATCCTAGAGTGGGAATGAGCACATTAGCAAAATGTGGGCACCTCCCTTTTGGGTTGTCACTCCCAGTGGTGAGCATTGAAACTAGAACTAGTGGCAGGCATGGCTAGACAGAGTGGCACCCACTCACAGATGTGTGGGCTGGACAGTGGGGCTGATTGGGTTGCACAAGGCATCAGTGTCCACTGACATGCATTAGAGTTGAATGGGATGTGGGATAGACTGGACCAGTCTACTGTACATATTGACAAGCATGGGAACCAGGGTAGGGATGGGAATGATGGAGGTTATTGTGGGTTGCCCCGACTAGGCTGCAGCTTCCACTGGTTGACGTGGCCAAATGTTTGGTGGCCAGGATCGAGCTGGGCTACAAAACCCATTGATTTGCGTAGAGGACAAGGGTAGAGACAGAACTAACTCAGCAATTGCAACCACCAGTGTGAGTGTAAATTGTTTGGGGTGACAGACTGTGCTGGAGCCTGTACTGGCAAGCACACACAAGAATCAGGCCTGTGATCACCTCAGCTGAGGTTTCTTTGGGGATCCCCCAACTAAATCACTGGACTCAGAACTCCAGCCATGGCGAGAATTGCAGGGTCCATGGTCTAACTGTGGAGTACTTTTGTCAGAGCTGAGCCTCCTCAGTGACTAAGACAAAACATTGGACAGCGTAGCACATGGAGAATATGATGGTACATTAGAACTTGCAGAGGATACCTGGTACCATAACAGAGAACAGAGGACAGAGGACAGAACAAATTGATCAACTACCCCAGCCATGTGTTGGCAGTGAAAATTTAGGCAAACAGAGATTTTAAGGTAGACTATGTCAGCCAGTGGATTCTGGAAAGATTTCATTGTGTTTGTAGTAGTGAGATTGGCAGCAACTCAGACCTGTTGAACTATCAAAACCACTTGAGCAGAAACATCGAAGCAGGCCCCACAGTGGTAACCCTGAGATGGTTGAGAGGCTGGGTGTAGCTTCTCCCTTTATTTCCCACCTTGCCCCAGATACAGGAAGGAAAAAGAGAATGTGAAAAAAAAATTATATTTAAAAATGTAAAAAAGCAGAAGTTTAAAAAATTCATATACTTACCAATTATGAAAGTCATACATGTAGAAATATTAAAATAGCAAATAGGAAATTATTATTAAGAATGCATCTATTTGTGTAAACATAAACATATAGATATGCATTGGTGTGTGTAGATACAAAAGCTAAGCCAAGAATGACTTACGTTATTGTGCCAACACTGATGAAAATTAGATCCCTGACATCTCCAAAAGCATCCCAAAAGCTGTCCCCAGCTGATTCAGGCCTAAAGTCCACTTGACTTTAACATGTTGATAAGTACCGTATAAGCTGAACCGTTCTTAGACCTATGCTGCTGATTATCATTTCTTCTGCTAATTATCAGTCTTCTTCAAATACGATACAAACAACACTAAATTTTTCCACACAAGTTGATTTAGGTGGTCTGCCACTATGGGACCCTTCAATTTTGTCTTGTCCCTTCTAAAAACGAATTCGCTCGCTCACTCTTTTTTTTTTTTTATCAAGTTTCTCTGGATTATTGGAAACTATAATTGATTTCAACATTTTTCTACCCAAACCTCACCAAGAGCTGGAGCTTGCTCTAACTCAATTATAACAGAAGTCAGTTTGGCTCGTTCCAAATTGATTTCTTATCCTTCTCAGGGCCTTAAATTAGATCCTGTTTAAACAAATTACTATCAGTTTACTTTAGTTTGAAACAACCATGTGAAGTCTACTCAATTTGTTTCATAACACACATTTTCCATGAATTTTGGAAGACCTCTTATACATTTGATCAGCAGTTAATACAGAATGGCTGTAACTGAGTAATGCCACATTTGCTAAAAGAAATTAAAGTATTTAAATGTTAACAGATAGCAGTTTTAAGTGCGTATATCAGATTAATGTTGTTGAATGTACATAAATTTCAGTATTGTAAAAATAAAATAAAGTTAAAAAATCAAACAATGCCCAATAAAAATAGTTGAGGCTCATTATGGTTCATATTATGCATGCATCAACTTGACTAAACCCATGGAATATGAGATATATAATCAAATGTCATTCCAGCTTCAAACTGTGAGGATGATTCCGCATGGATATCACAAATTCAGTAACACGAAGTTAACCGGGGGTGCCTTTGCCTGACTGCCTTCAGCTGCCTTTGGTAGAACTGAAACATGAGCTCTGTCTGGCCTCTTGTTCAGACAGAATCTAGATTATCAGCTCTTCTAGCTTTCAGCTCTCAATTTGCACTGGAACTGCACCATTGGCTCTCCTATGTCTCCACCTGTTGACTATAGATCTTGGGATTGTGTATCTTTCATAATTGTATGACTTAATTGTTTCTAATAAATCTCTTCATATATACATTTTATTAGTTCTTTGTACTGGGCTAAATATTTATTACAGTTTAGAAATTTCTAGATCTCAACTGAAATAAATAAAACAACAAAAATGATCAAAGTATACGAAATTTTAAAAATCATATCAGAAATACAAATGGTCAAGAAATGCTCAATATCATAAATAATTGAATAAATAAAATTTAAATAAGATGCTGTATTTTGCTTTTCTTAAAAGAAAAAAATATTAAGGAATGACACTATGCTCATTTGGCAGAAATGCACAAAAGAACACTCTTAGATACTAATATTCATTTTCAGAAAGCAAATGATACAATGCTCTAAGGAGGAGAGAGCAATGATACAGAATTTCAAAATGTGTATAGTAGTCATCGCGTAAATTCCTCTTCAGTAATTAATGTACAGAATCATGATTTCAGATAAACGAGGACCTAGCTTTGAATGTACAATCATTTACTACAGAAAAAAAATCCTATTGATCTTAAATCAGCCAAATAAATTAAGACACATTCATATACAGTATTGTCATGTGACCATTAAATTAACAAGTATATTGGTAAAAGATGATAAAAAAAAAAAAAACTGCTAGGATAAATTGAAAGCCCGCTACATAGGAAATGAAACATACAGAACAAAATATAGGCACCAGTTCTATTTTAGCAATTATAGATGGAGAAAGATGGCAGAAAGAAAAGTGTGTATGTTAATATTCCCAAAAGATACACCAGCAGTTTATTTTCAGGAGATGTGGAAGATTTTCACTTTCACATTTATATATTACTGGTTTATGTTATAATTATGAGAATACAAAAACTCTTTGCTAGAAAATGTGAATCAACAAATGAAATAGCTCTCCAAAGGCAAAATATCTGCTTTACGTAACTGAATTAAGATACCAAACTTACCCCACTGCAAAAAAAACACACAGAGTTTTCGACAAATCATCTTACTTCATAGATGTGCCCTGAAAAACAACAGTAAATTAAGAACATGTATGCACACACAAAAAAGATATACACATTATAAAAAAACATTAAAAGAAAATAATCACAAGAAAATCTATAATTTGATCTTTTGCAATAGTCTGGATCAGTGTCAGAAAAACATCCTACCTGGAATTATGTTATAATTTATTTACTGATACATATTATATGCAGTATATATTTAAACTACATATAGTCTAATAATTTTAAGTACTCATAATTCTGATTAAATGGAACAGTTAGTCCAACAGTTAGTATCTCTATCTTCATTTTTTCATGCTAATTGCTTTACTTTCCCTCATTTTTTTTAAGTTTTTATTTTAATTGTAATACTATAAATAGTTTAGCATAAGTAATAGTGGCATATTTGCTCCCAACAAAGGAAGAAATTTTTCCAAAATTATTTTGGAAACCTATTGTTATACTGCAGATGAGCAACAGAACTGGTATATATATTTACATTGAAAAGTTATCAGAGTAATTCATGGGAAGCCTGGAAGCTTACTAAAAGTAAATGAAAACATTAAGAATCACTAGAAAGACAAGATTTCCCATGAATTCTTCTCAACTTGAAAGGAGAAAGGAAAGAAGACAGGAAAAAGAAAAGTAAGGAGGGATGGAGAGGTGGAGAAAATATCATTATACTCTGAGAATTTTATTCATGAACTACATGAAGTCTATTCCTTGTATATCAATAACAAGTACGCTTATGCAGAGTATTATATGAGCATGTGTGCTCAGTTTAAAAAGTTGGAAAGTTTAAAAAAAGAGAGAAAATCTGATAGTTTTGTGGCTTTGATGAACAAGCTCAATGACATCTTTCTGCCATTGATTTTTGCATTTTCTTTCTGTTGCAGAAACGAAAGATGCTAAGTGTCAAAAATTTAATAAAATAAATACAACCATATGTTTGTAGTAACTTGTCATTTTGAAAATGCTTACTTCTATCATTTTGTAAGGATGAAGACTGGTTATATAACTTAAATCAAGTAACAGTCATAAGCATGGGTCACTTTGAAAACACAATTTCAAGTATTTTAACTCTCGATATAACTGTTCTTTTGCCACAAATTAATTTAAAAAGTTACAGAGGAACTATTAGGAAAATACCATGAGGATTTTTGAAAGCTTATGAGTCTGTTGATAATAGACCCTGCACTATAGACTCCTAATTTTTTTTTCAAATATTCATTTTATTTTATTTATTTTATTTATTTTATTTTATTTGAAAGGTAGAGTTATAGAAAGAAAGTGAGTGAAAGAGAAAGGGATACCTACTCAAGCTCATTGACTTCCCAAATCCTGAAACAGTCAGGATGTGCCAGGCCAAAGAGCCAGGGGTCTCATCTGTCTCAAACATGGGTTCAGAAGCCTAAGGATTTGGATGATTCTCTGCTGTTTTCCCAGACACATTAGCAAGGAACTGAATTGGAAGTGGAGCAGCTAGGACTCTAACTGGTGCACATAAGGCATGTCAGCATCGTAGGTGGATGCTTAATCCATTACACAATGCTAACCCTGGGAATTCCTAATTTAAATAAGCTCTTTTTGCTTTTTTCAGATAAAATATAAGGAATAGCCCCATGTATACTCAGCCCAAAATTGGTTCCACTTCCATGACTAATATTCTACTCCTTTAAGTAGTTGGACTCAGTGGGCTGTCAACAGCCAGAATACTTGAGAGAAGTTACTAATACTCCACGTTTGATCAAGGAAATCATCAAGTTCAAATTCCACAGGAAGTACAAGGAGTCATAGTGATTAAAAGAAATCAACAGCGAAAAGGAAAACCTTACTAAATACCAGGCTTTCTCAAAGCACATCAACTTCTAGGGCAGCTACTCTTCTGCAATTTAGATACTGAAAAGTGGATTCATTCTTCTGTAGAAATGCTGGAGCAGGTGATCTCTAGTAGACTTTCCAATAAAAAATACATCTTAAAAAAAAAGAATGTAATATGGGAGAACCTTCCTCATCTTCAACTTCCTATTTGATTCAGACACCCAGATCAAATAAACCATACAACCAGCAAGGTAGAGAAGTCCCAGACAAAATATGGGAACAAGATTGTTCCAGAGCCAGATTCCAAAAATTATAAATGACCAATATCTGCAGAAGATCTGGTTTTGTTCAAAGCTTGGGACCCTGCAAACCAACTACAGCCTCAACAGAAAGGACACTGTCTGATGCTACGTGGCACTCCTATCATAGCTATATTCAAAGGAATTTCTAGCTGTGTATATCCGTTGGTAATGAGTCTTCTGTCCCTTGACTCTACATCGGCACACCCAGGGGGATAACTGCATACTATTCTGAGCCAATTGAGGGACACAGGTATAACTTTAAAAGCTAAAATATATGCAAATTATTTTGCTTTTGCCATAAACTTATTTCTAAAGAGAAAGGCACTAAGGCTATTACATTTTTCAATTGACATGCTTTTTCTACTTCTCCTGTCTTCCTGGAGAAATTCCATGGGCAAAGAAACTCCATGGTAAACTCTCTACCACAATAGCAAAAGGAATAAAATCTTCATAAACCAGACTACTGAGCAGGCTCTAGGGTAACTACAAGATTCTTTAGATTCCCTAACTCAGGGACAACAAACCAGCTCTGAAATACTCACTGTTAAAATACAACAGAGTATGTGGGCACAGCAATTAACAAAACCTGCTGAATTCATATTGACAATAGTGAGCTTGCAGAAGAAGATATCAAAAGAAGTTGTCATCAAACCAAGCGGCCCCACAGATTTCAGAAAGAAAATCTTACAGCTTGCACCATACGGGAACTTAAAAAATAAAAGTGCTCCCCCTTTTCTGATGTGCTGATGTGGTTTTACTCTTGCTCCATTTTCTATCAGTTGTCAAATTTGTCTCTTTCAGAGTCCAATAGTTTCAAGAGTTTCATGTCAAAATGATTATCAACAGGAACTCCAAACACTACCAAAATTCGGTGAGAAACCTCCAGTTACCCCAGTGGAGCCTTTAGATAATTAGCAAAGAATTTGCTCTCACTAGCTAGGCAGGCAATCCCCTTACACAGTATGAAATTACAGTTAGGAAACTAATGTGTGTGTCAATATGTTTTCTCTCCAATATAAACATAAGTACATTCTATGTGTGTGAAACAATCTGTAAATTTATGTAGTACATGATTAATTTTTTTCTTTCATTTCCTAAACACTGGCAAGTTTGGCTCAGAAATTATGTGGTTGCACACCTACATTAAGAGTCACTTTCTTTAATCCTTCATAGAAATTAAGGAATGAAAAATCTCTGAGGTTGACAAGAAGATGTCACCAGGAAGCTAGCAAAGAGAGCTGAGAGGTGTTATCAGCCTTCGCCCAACGCTCTTTGCCCATAACCCTCCACCCAAACCACTACCTTCCAGCCCCTGCTTTATGTTGAAGAGAACTTTTTCTGAAAAAATATCACCTAGAACCAGTTGAAAATATGCAATTGGTTTCTGACTGCATTCCTGTAATAATCTGTTAACAATTACTATAATGGCATTATAATAAAATTGTCATGAGTGGCCTGCCATGATACCTCCAGATTCCCCCAAAAGACAACAAACTTATAAGAATCCAAATAACTCCTCATACAGTTCCCCCTATGAATATTTAGTTAAACCCTGCCCTAAAAGTCACTCCATATGAATATTCAGCTCCTCTGGGACATAAAGGAACAACCCACAATTTCATTTTACACAGCTCATTGTCACGCATGCACACACTGCCTCTCCGAGTGCAAACTTTCACTCTGGCAGCAACAAACCCATACCTCTATCAACTTCACCTATAGTTCACCCTCAAATACTTTCTTGCATCAGAGAGAACAACCTGGCCACAGCCATCCTACAAGAAAATGACTACTTTTTATTGACTACAGAAATTCTCAGCTGCCTCTTTGGCAAGTATAATATGATCAACATGCCATAACTCAAAGAAATACTATTTTACTAACAGAGCAGCAACAGCAACAACTTTGGTTGTTAATGTGTGTGCCAATGTGTTTTCTCTCCATTATAAACATAAGCATACTCTACGTGTGTGAACATATCTGTGTATTTATGTATTACATGATTAATTCTTTTATTTCCTATAAACTGATAGGTTTTGTTCAGAACTTATGTGATTGCACACAGAAATCTAATTGGTTGATTATATCATATTTATGATTTCTAGATGTTCATAAGTTTAGACATCCAAATAACAGCTGCTGGTTAAAGCAAAAATGAGAAAATATAAAACCAACTTGTCCTATGCCTTTGCAAAACAGATATTAAGTACCAGCTGTTCCTACACGTGAGTTTACATTTTTAAAACCAATTATAATATCATTATGGAAGTTCCTGTGAATCTCTACTTGGCTCAAACCTTTAACCAGCATCTAGTACAAACAGAAAGAAAAAAGAAACACTTGTATGTTCACACAAGATTAAAACAAATTATTGGTCCAGGTGTAGGCATATTCCCACACTATTTAACTTTCACTCATGAGCTCTCATTTTCTTATTCATTCTCATTCCTCTCAATCTACTTTTCTCCCTCACCCCTTCAATACTTCTAATCCTTTTGTTTATAGTTTTGCTTTCTTCCCATAACATTTATCACTTTTCTAAGGTTTTACTGACTTCATTTGGTAATTGTTTATCCTCTTACATTTTACAAAAACAAAGATGTCCACATGTTTGGTTCTCAAAAATATTTGTTAAATGAGTAAATGAAATTTAAGATATTCAAATGTATGCCAAGGGGATATTAAATAGAGCTCAAGTATATTCTTGAATTCATTACCATTAAAAGTTGATTCATACTATTAAAAGGTATCCAAAGGGTAACTTCTACAATAATCATTGATAGAAATAGAGTTACTGACTTTTAAAACAGTGAAGCAAAATTTGGAGTGACAAAAATTACTTCAAATAGAGAACTTACTAAAAATAAGATAATGACAGGACTGTAAACACAAGTCTAA